GGTGTCTCCGGACGCCATGGCTTCAGATAAGCTGCTATGGCTAGCAGGGTATGAGAGAATTAGAGTAGAGATCGAGACGGATGAGAGGCAGGCGTGATGAGTGACGCCAAAGCTTATGTCTTTGGGTAAGGCTGAAGCTAGGAGAGGTTGAAGTGACCCGATGTGCCCCGCACTGGGACGACTTGGGAGCTTGGAACCTTGGGGTGCACGAGGATGACGAAGACGCGGGGTGAGCTCCTGCGCGCCCATCTTAGTGGGGGTGTCGTGGTGGGGCCGAGCAAGTCCCGGCCGGCTGCCGCGACTCTGGGCCTTTTTGCCCGGGAATCTCGCGGCTATGGAAGTGAAAGTACTATCCGACCGTCATGATATCAAGCTTTGAGAAAGCATGCCGGAGTATCAATGCGAGTATCAAAAGTGGCTAGTTGGTGCGTTGATATCGCGTTGGACCTCTTTAGTCAATCCAACTGCCCGGCATAACGACCCGAGGTGACTCCACAACCCTCCAAAACTCACCAGCAAAGGCCTCGATCTCAATGATCCAGTGAACTCTCCAATCATCTACATTTGGTCCGTAGTCGATACTGATAATTCGCACTGGTGTCCAGTATCGATCACTCCTATCAAAGGCACTCTCCGCCGTCGTCATCCACCCAGGCCTACTACACGCTTGTAGCGGGTTCCTGACCACTTTGCGGGAAAGATTGATGGCATCGCTGTCGAAAGCGCCCTTCACTTCAGGGTGTGTGAACCTCATCGTCTTAGATTCTTGCTCTCCATACGTGAGTAGATCAACGCCCGCAGAGACCAGATCTCGGAGCCACTGTTTGAGCACTGCTTGGAAGACATTGTCCCATTCTTCCAAGGGTAAGTGGGGCGATAGTCGGCATAAGGCGCCACCGAGAAGAGATATCAAGGGCGTAGCTTTCCAGACAGGTACAACGAACCAGTCCCATGGAACGACAGTCTCGACGTGACACAAATTCATTGTGTTAGGCAAGCTCCGTACAGTCTTGATAATAATGTCACTCCAAGCGGACGTGTAAGTGCGCGGCCGTAGGATCCGCGGATCAAACTGCAGCTCGTCCGCGAGTCTTATCCCGGTAGCTATGGCAGCGGAATGCAGCAACGAGAAGCCGCATTCCGCGCTCTTCTCTACGTCGCGGGGTGAGATGGTGTAATCGGGGGATAGAAGATTGAGGTACGTGGTATCCTCGCGAACGATGAAAGCGGCAAGCCTGACTGCCTCGGCGCGGTCGCTAATCGAAAACCGCGAATGATAATCGGTGAGGAATTTGGAATAGTATACTCGAATATACTCGTCGCCGTAGGTGTACTCCGCCATGAAGGTAAAGAGGCGCTCGAGAGTTAGCGTGAGAGTGGTCTGGGCGGCATTGCGGAAAAGGGAGACGATGGCTCGGTGGTTGGCATCATCGTGTCGTTCAAAATTGGTTCTGGACCTTACGATGACATCTATGGGGGTTCTTTAAGGTACCAGAAATATGATTAGAGGAAAATCCATTTGAGAGGAGAGATGATGGATGGGGATGCCGAACCCGCCGTAGCTTTCTCGTTCATCGTCGGCGAGTACGCCTTGCTGTATAAGGGCCTGGCAGATCTCGAGCCTTTCATTATCAGCAGCTATCTGATATTATGTGAGTCATTCATTACACAAATCGGCGGACAAGATTGAAGAACCCAGACTGCTTACATATAGAAGCGAATGACCGGACTCATTCTTGTCGAATGGGGTTGCTTCGCCCATCTTGAAGAGGTTCATTAGCCGTGTCAGGTCTCCTTTCTTGACAGTCTTAAAGACTGGGGAGAAATCTGGTCTGATGTTATAAGAGTGAAAACAATACTGCCACCCTGTCCATCTCAGTTCCCTCACGCACTGAGACCACGGTACTTGTAACGAAGCAGTCCATCCGCCGTTACTCCTGGAGCGTTGAAATGAGTATTGCCCAAATGACTTGGACTTCAGAGACATATTTGGTAATCGTTTTGGGGTTGCAGAAAGCATCTTTTCAGACCCTGCATCAACGACTGTGGGTTCCACACCCTCCTGTGTCTTGATCATGTTGACGACAGCCTGGGCCGTCTTTTTCACCACGTCTTCCTGGCACGCTATGCTATGTTCTCTAATTCGATCTGAGGTCTGTTGAATCACAAGCTGCTCAGATATCTCGGTCTTGGCCCTTTTTCGGGTACCGATCAGTTGAGTACTCGTAAGACGCAGGGGAGATGTAGCTTACATATGGAAGTAAGTGATGGCAAGCTGCAAAGATTCCATAGCCCAAGCAAGCTCACTCTCCAACATGGAAATCTCCTCCTTCTTCAGCGTTATGATCTTTAGCGAGTTGACCCGCCTTCGAAAGTTGCTGCTAGGCTTCTGAATCTTGCTCTCGAGTTTCTCTACGTGAGACTTCATGGTAGCCTCGACTTCTATAGCGTAGGCAAGACATTGCTGGGCGGTTGGGTGGAAGCGTAGTTCGGGGTACTTTGCAAAGTCGGACTCGATATGACGCAGCATTGGTTCGAGGGATTCGAGCCTCTTGAGTCGGGCTTTGAGGTCGTTGGGGAGTTGCTTCACCTGCTCCCACATTCGAATGGCTCTGACGATGGCCTTACCCGTACCAACGCCGGCTTGGACGAAGGCAATGCTACTCGCTGCGATCTCCATGGCTGGCGATGGACTGGTGTTTACGTAGATCAACAGCGAAGCGGGTAAGGGGACAGTCTGGAAGCGCTCAGTTCTTGAGTGCAAGCGATTCGGCAGCGACATGTACCAGTTATACCAATTCTGCCCTGCCAATTCCTTGCGGCGCAGTTGTCAATTTGCAGCGGGACGGCCCTGCTGCCTCGGCGGCAAACCTGCATATGTTGACAGGGGTCTTAGCCACCGAGGACCAGAGACATCCGAGCCGGCCATTTTCGTGACCCAAACAACAGAAGTTGGAAATAGCTGGTTTGAAGTCGCAGGGATACCCACCTACCTAGGCAAAGATACGCTTTCAAAACAATTATTCCGCCGATGATCGTGCTTCAGTGAGAAGCACCCGCTTACGAGAGACTGCGGTAGCTTTATATTTCGCCAGGCTACGGTGAGTAAAATGAAGAGCTTCACTGAATGCTTAAAATGGGCTTTCGTAGAACGTTGTATATCACCGCATCGTGCCATACTGCCACCGAAAGTTGAAATCAATCTATACGGGTGCTCGTATTTCATGGTATTCAGACCAAATCAAGGGCAGGGGTTCCTCTTCATGCCATTCAAATGCTCGCTCCAACTCTCGACCGTCAGCGTCATCGTCATCGTTTACCCAGCTACCAGGGACCTCCGGGTCAAAGTCTTTCTCTTGGACCATTGCCCAAAATTCGCCTGCGTAATCCTCGTATTCATTGACCCACCAAAGTGTCCAGTATTCCTTTGATTTCCCAAAAGTAATGCCAATGAGAGAAAGCCGAAATGGGGAATTAAGTTGCGGAGAGACTCCTGTAAACATCCAGAGCCATTTTTTTCCGAAAGCTTGTAAAAACTTTCTTATAAAGCTGTCTTTCTTTGAAACCATAATTCAGAAGATCCGTTCCATTCAAGGCTAACGCATCAAGTCAAGCTGTAAGTCCTTTCTGAAGTTGTTGATAGTACGAACCCCTTCGGACCGTTTCCGAGAGCCAAAGAGGGCGAAACCAGCTAGGCATCACATGAATCAAGTGTAAGAAAGTGGTTTGACTTCTGTTGTCTAGAAAGTCAGGCGGGATGGTGAGATAGTCGTACCCAAGATCTGAGTAGTGGGGCACTAGCCAGGTAACACCGTATAGAGTGTGAGTGAGCTTAAGTTCCGGATGGCAAGGAAGCTCCTCTAGATGATGAAGACCTGCGGGGTCAAGCTCTAGACAGGTCTTGAGAAGTCCGCACCAGTCGATTTCAGACGTCGGTTCGGTTTCAATTACGTCATACGCAGCCACAACTTGAAAGACCGCGCCTACTGCTATAGATCGGAAGAGTGAGGATTGACCTGTCGCTCTTGACAACTTCAGGGTATTCATCGTGAGATTTTCGGTCTCCGGCAGCAGAAAATGTAACTCTCCTAAGGATGATTGATCGCCTGAACCGACTAATGCCCGGAAATGCTGCAGTCTTTTCTCGAATGGAAAGGATTGGTATCGATGCTGGTCTGTGTAACTGAGCAAGATTCGAAAGCCTGAGTTGGAAACTCTCCACCTGAGATAGAAATCGAATGCTTCGGGGCCATCTATAATGTCACTCAGACCATAATTCGACATTTGGACAAGAACTGAAGACGCATCCCCAGGCTTCGCCAGTTCATCATAGGGTCCAAGTTGCAACAAGAACATGACCCATGGGTAACTATAAGTTGTCAGAAGAGTACGTCTTCGCTAAGAAGAGAGTTGAGAGGGCTATCACCTTGATCGGTTTATACTCTCAAGTACGAATATCCCTAACCCGCAATCTAACAGTGTTTTGACCAAAGTGAAAGAGTTTTTCCTGAATGCTACCTGTCAAATATGTCAGTTGGGAACGATCTTCTTCGGGCGTGAAAGCTAAAAGAGGCGGTACCTCTAGTAAGGTAGTTCCACTCGAATCTCGAACAAATGGGTTCATATTTCGATCATGCAAGTATTCGAGAACTGCAGCATCGTCATCGTTTTCGATTTTTTCATACAATCCCCAACTGAACTTCTCTACGACTTCATAAGCTCGGAGACTCAGCTGCCACCCCCACAAACTTCTTTGAGCCAGGATAGAGTAAACTGATCTCAGAAGCCAGCTTGGTGGCTGTGCATGAAGCTGAATACTATTGCCTGATTCCCATGATAGACCTAGTCTTCCAATCATTGTTGGTTCATGGGAATATCTTGAGATGACTGCCGACTTAACAACAACAGCTTTGCCATTGCTTTGTCTGTGATCATCCGCAGTATCCTGAGGTTCAGTTTGGCTGGCAAAGTTTGCAAGTGACATTTGAAGAGACTTCATCTCAGACACCTGTTGCAGTAAGACCGTCACTGAGTAGGACGCCAGTGATCTGTAAAACAAAACAAGCAGTCGTCAGTGATGCAGTAAGATAATTTGGATCGGGAACGACATACGTCTGATAATGTTGCTGCGCTAGCTTGAATAGCTCCAAAACCAGGTTAAGCTTTGAGTCTAAAGCGCAGAAGTCCTCTTTTCGGAGGACAGCCTTTGTCGACGCAAGCTTTCTCTTATATCTTCGCGGATCCGTGACTTGGCTGTGGAGTTGATCGACCATTTCTTGTAAGCTTTTCAAAAGTGTACGAGATCTCTCGATACGTTTCTGTAACTGAGCACTGTTCCAGACCTTTTCCGGGAGTGGGCTATTAGCAACGTCGCTCTCGGTTTCTAAAAGGAATTCCTCAAAATCTTGGAGACGCTCTGCCTTTGCGAGCAGAGCATGAGGGACATTATTGATCTCTCTCCACAAGCTGGCGAGCTTTATCGAGGCTCCAGCAACCTTTGCGGCTATGTCCACAACAGCAATGACGCTTGCCGCTAGGCCAAGGGTTTCCGCCATCTAGAAGTGTGTCTCCAATTGATATGTGTCAAGTCGCGCGAAATTGTACTGAGGATGAAAAATTTCGTTCTTGAAATGAGAAGAGAGAAAAAAGTCGTGGAAATTTGATGAGGGTGCGACAAAACGAAGGGCAGGTGTGAGAGATTATGGTCCCTCGACTCAATGAGGCTGTATCGAAATCATTGGTTAGCGAGTGTCTGCTGTATGACTGGAAGCTGCAGACTCCGCGAGTTGGTTCGCCGGTTGCCTATCTGCATGATAACCGAAGCTGACTGGCGATGGCTGAAGGGTTGCATCAAGTCTACCTTGTCATGTCACGAGGAAGTGGATTATTTTTTACGTGTTGCCATTGATTTATCATTGTCCTTCATAAGGGAGACAATTGAGGCGGAATCTACCTCACGCCTGTGAGTTCCTGGCAGTCGGCTAATAGTTAAAGATGGGCTGTCTGAAAATCGCATTCTGAAGTCATTCATAAAGGTGTTATATACAAACACAGCTAAGGGGGCGTCGATGTGAGGGAAAAGCTGTCTTCTTGGTGATTGTAAGTTTCGTACCGCGCTTCGTACGATCGGGTACCGATTTGGGAGATGGGATAGATCAACAGCAAACCTGGTTCACCGTCTGTTTAGCCCGGATGAATGCAATGTGTAGACTCGTTTCCATGCTTCTTCCATGCTTTTCAGCCAAACAATTGCTTGAGATATCTTTGCACTACAAGACGACGTTGCGTTTCTCACCAGATCTACTACTGGAGGAGTGCCGCTTCATCCAAAACTGCCCCGGACTCGGGTACCCCACAGCGGCCCGGGTGGATAAACCCCGCTCGCCGAATGGCCGGCGTGAGTCACCCCGCACTTGAGCCCGAAAACGGAAACCCTTCGGACCTGCCGCGCTGGAGCAATTTCCTCAAATACTTACCTTGGCGTTCGACAACAAGTGCCCACCCGTACAGGCCAAGCTCGCGTCTTTGCAACAAGCATACGGCAGTCAGTTTCTGTGTTGGCCAGGCAGAATTACGCTTGAAGCGGTCCGAAACCCAGCAGTCATGGAAAACACTCAGCCAACAACAACAACCTCAAAAATAATCGCAACAACGTACCACTCCGTAATAGAATACACAACATACAATAACCTCCCAGCAGTCCTCAAAAAGTTCACCTTCCCCGAAAACCCAAGAACCCTGCACCGCTGGCGCAAAGAAGTGGAAGCTCTAAACCTCGCCAGAGGTCACGTACGTACCCGTCTTTCCCTCCCCCCTTTCCCCCTTCCCTCCCCTCCTTAAACCCCAATCTCATAATTATCTCATATCTGACCTCACTTCTATCCCAACTTACACACCCAACAGCCAGACATATCCCAAATCCTCCACTCCTCCCCCTCCCCACCAACAATAACCCTCCGCCACGAACCAGGCCTCAGCCTCGAAAAGTTCATCAACCCCAAAACATCCCTCAATACCCTTCTCCCCTCACAAGTCCACGCGATCTGGTCCCAAATCGCATCAGCCCTATCCCACCTCCACCAAAACTGCAACATAATCCACGACGACGTGAAACCAGACAACATCATCTTCTCCTCTCCCTCTCCCCATGCTTCATCTCACCAGCCACCCCATGCAGTCCTAATCGACTTCGGCGCAGCCCTCACCTCCCCGTCCACCCTGCCCCAAAACGGCTGGACACCCTCCGGAACACCCCCCTACGCACCCCCCGAGTTCTTCCACCGTCACAAATCCTACGCCTCTGATGTCTGGGGGCTGGGTATCACGATGCTCTTCTGCTTTGGATGCATCCCTCTCCCCACAGGCTCCTGGCTCCTTCCCCATGTTTTTGAACATGAAACTGTCAAACGAGAGATGGAGGCGTGGTTAGATCATATTGAAGAGCTGCGGAAATCGTTGAGTAGTAGCGGGGATGAAGAGAAGGTGTTGCTGGGTAGGATGTTGGAAAGGGATCCGGAGATTAGGATCGGGAGTGTTGAACTTGCGGGACTTTTGAACCCATCTTAGAACAGAAGGTGGTCTGGGGAAGTTATACGACGGCAGAGAGATAGTAGAGTGTCAGCATCTACATCTAGTCCTGGGGCTAGGTCAAGACGGTATCTAGATCCGTCATCCTTCACAACAACATCAAGATGAACATTGTCGCCATAAACCACATAAGCTCGAGTCACTCCCCAGCACGCACCACTTCCATCCACCTCACCAACCCGACCCGGCCCTCCGGAAACTCCATCCCAGCAGTACATCCAAACCTTCTTCTTCTTCAGCTCTGACCTTCCCTTCATAAACTCATCGACTCACAAGCAGGGCCAACCCCAGACACGAAGTTCCTTTCATCCAGCACAGCCCCTGCACCAACCTCCCACGCAATACCCCAAACTCGAAACTCTTTTAAACAAAATCACCCGCATACCTTGCCTACCCGCACTGCACAACACTATATAACCCCCCGAGCGTACTTCGTAGACGAGCATCCCCTACCAATACCCACCGGATCAGACTCCGAACTTTCCCCCCTCCCCTCCAAAATTCATCATCCCATCCACGGCACGCTCGGGTACCTTTCTTCCACCAACAAAAGTCTAGATCCGATCTACAAAAACTCTCATTCGGTTTCGCTTCGCTTCCCTATGTGACAGCAACTCGTGAGAAACATCACACATCCCATGGCCCCGATGACCGCCCGGTACTCCACAGCTCAAAACCATCCGCATCTCATCTCACACCAACAAAGAACAAAGAGGGCCAGGGACAGTTTTATCAGATTGTTGTACTAAAGTTCGATTTCAGTCATTACCGACTAGAGTTATAAAATAAAGAGCAAACCTGGGCTCGTAAGCAGCAGGCAGCAGAATCTCATCAAAACCCTCGACTCCCCCCCATTCTATCAGTTCCGGCGGATCATGTATAACCACAAAACCATTGCTATCTGGCGAGATTCGTTCCGCCCGTATGCCGCATTTTCGTTTTTCGGGTTCCGGTTTAAAAAATCCAACCCCCGCCCGCTTTATGCGCCGATCGAAATGCCAAGATGCAACGTGACCTGCCGCATCCCCAAATGTCCTGCTTTCCGATTTCTCTGCTGCCATATGTACAACTCTGTGTGTCGCGTTTGTAAGCATAAATACAGTGACCGGGCGCCATGCACCTCGCTGTGGTAGTAGTGAACATTCCCCCTGGTAAGCACTTTGAAAAAAAGTAGGATGCTGTAAGCACTCCTCCATGTCTATGACCTCCGCTTGTGTTCCTCCTTTTCCAACTTTTCCACGTTTTCCTCAGTCAGGGAATCGCCAGCTATCACCGTTTGGAAGGATTCGCCCCGTCGCGGGAGCTTCTTCCCACCCGCGGCTTCCATGAGCTTGCCTTGCTGTGCTTGCAACGCAAGCTCGTCAGTCTCGGATCGTCTGATTGGTTTGATGGATTCCGCCACATTTGGGGAGTCGAACGGTGATGGCTCATAAGAGTTGTTCCTAGTAAGAGGCCTAGGTGTCACCGGATCGCCCCGACTTTCACGATCTGCTTCCTGGCTTTGCTCTCGTTGGCGGCTCGATGGCGCCACAGCTTCTGTTGAGTCCGGGGGTGTAGGATCCGGGTGGTCATGTGCTATGCCAGGGATATCAGCGTTGCTGCAGTGTGCAGCGGTGTCTGAGCAATCAGACATGGATCCATCCGACTCCCTGTATGTTGTTTGATGTGATCTCTTCATCAAGCTCCATCGGACAAGCATTCTTTCCAACGTCTTGCTCTTGACTGGCTTGGCAAGATAGTCGTCCATTCCTGCTCGAGTGCATTTCTCCTTGTCGCCTTGGATTGCCGATGCCGTCATCGCCACAATTGGTATATCTTGCACGTAGGCCTTATACGGCAAGTGGTGGCGGAGGAGATGTGTACACTTGTAACCGTCAATGACTGGCATTTGCACGTCCATTAGTATGATGTCCGGCTTGCTGTGTTTGCCTTGCTGCGCTGCCGCCATGTACTCGAGGGCGTCTTTTCCGTTCCATGCTGCGGTTACCGTGAAGCCAAGTTTCATGATTGTCTTGGTTGCGATTTGCTGGTTGATTGCACTGCCAAGCTGTTAGCATGAACCGTAACGTGGCCAATAGAAATGAGCACCCACTTATCCTCGACGACAAGAACACGGATTTTGGCACGTTCAGCATGTGGCAACAACTCCTCGTCCGAAGCCGGCGGTGTCCGTACCGATAGTCGCCGTGATGGAGACTTGTGTTTGTCGGTTAGGAATTGCGAGGACTCGCCTGAGGCGGGAGGCGTGTTTAGCAGCTGTTCAAATTCTGAACTGTGACACGAGACGCTCATCTCAGACTGTAGCCTGTCCGGTAGAGAGCCAATCTCGACGAGCGGTGCCCTCCCTTGGTTCTGGGGTTTGCTGAAGGGTACCCAGAATGTTGCCACAGTTCCATTGCCGAGGGCGGATTCCAGCGTCATCTCTCCATGCATCAACTCCAGCAGGTTCTTGCAAATCGTGAGACCCAAGCCCGTGCCACCAAACTTTCTGGCCGTGGACGAATCTCCTTGGCTGAAGGGTTGGAAAAGCTTCTTCCGCACCTCCTCCTCGATTCCGATACCGCTGTCTTCAACGATGAACTTGACGATGATGCTATCCGACGTCTCCTTCTCCTTCTGCACCGAGAACTTGACATAACCTTGGTTGGTGAATTTAATACTGTTGGTCAAGAGATTCGTAATGATCTGGCGTACACGACCGGGGTCACCAATGACAACCAGATCGCGTTCGATTTCTTTCGAAATATCGGATCGGAAATCCAGATTCTTCCGCTCAGCAGCAAAACTCAACATTTTCCTGACATCAGTGACAATGACTGAAAGTGAGAACTGGACTTCTTCGATATCGAGACGTCCGGATTCGACCTTGGAGAAATCAAGGATATCGTTGATGACCGTCAAGAGAGCATTCGCCGACCTCTGAATGTTTTCGACGTACTCGGTCTGTTCAGCGTCAAGTTCCATATCCCTCAACAACTCGGCCATTCCGATGACGCCAGTAATGGGCGTCCGGATCTCGTGAGACATCTATCAACGCGTAAGTTCATAATTCTACAAGCTCCTGCAACACAAACCACTTACATTGGCAAGGAACTGGCTCTTGAGCCTGTTCGCTTCCTTCGCAGCCGCCTCGTTCGCCATCGCTTGCTTCTTCTCCCGAGATTCTTCTTCCAAATCTTCGGCCTTTTCCTTGAGCTCACTCACGTCCATGATGACACCAATGACGCCTTCGATGCGGGCCTCGTTAGTCACAATGGCATCTTTCGTCTTCTTGCCGATAATAGGCAAGAACCTCGTCCGGTACCAGTGTCCATCCATGCCGTGCTCTGCCACCTCTTCCGTCTTTCCGCCCGCCAATATGTCTTCGACGGGGCGGAGGAATTTAGGGCGCTCGCCAGTCTTGAGCTGGGGGTTGAGTCGGTTGAAGACCTCGTACATGTTCTGGCCAAGGAACCAAGTCGCTTGGTTTGCGGCACTATCATCCCCGTTGCTGTCCCGCATCAGCGCACCTTCCAGCATGGTGAGGTTGAGATTGGTATCGACGGTGAAAATGGTGACTTGAGAGTGCGCAAGAACGCTCAGTAACTGCTGTCGGGTACTCCTGGCAGCGAGTTTGGCTTCAATGCTTTCGTTAACGTCGGTGCAAGTTCCGAACCACTTTTCGATCTCGCCTGTCTCCTTATTCCTCTGCGGGAGAGCTCTCCCCAACATCCACCTCCATTCGCCAGTTTTGCTGCGGCACCGGTATTCCGTAACGTAAGGATTGCCGGTTTCTAGAGAGTGCTTCCATCGCCTAGCGCTTTCCGGTACATCGTCCGGATGGAATGGATGTTTCCATCCTGAGCCCATTGACTCCTCAGGGGTGAGCCCTGTGTATGAGTACCACCGAGTGTTGAAAAAGTCATGATAGCCATCTGGTTTCGTCGTCCAGACAAGCTGAGGCATAGTGTCGCAGATCAGTTTGAAGCGCTCCTCATCTCTCTCCTTGATCTCAACAATCTCTTCCTTCATCTTGGTGATGTCTCTGAAGGTGACAACGCCGGCCATGAATTCGCCGGTGCTATCATCGCGGATTGCCTCCCCGAGCGCATCGTACACCATCCTGTTACCCGACGGGTCAATCATACCAACACGCATATTGGTGAAGGGCGTCTCCGTTCTGAGCAGGACCGAGATGGGGTACTCGCTGACATCCAACTCCCTCTCAAAGTCCTGGTCCCAAACTGTCCAGCTGGGTAGCAAATCGAATCCATCTGATGATTTCTCCAAGTCGCTTTCTTGCCGAAGTAGTTTCCGAGCAGCGCGATTTGGAAACGTCACGCTTCCATCTTTCCACATCGCCAGGATGGGCATTTCCGTGTTATCAAGTAAGGCGTCTTTCATGAGAATCATCTTCTGCAAAATCGAGGGCGCGCTCGCATGTACGGCTGTCGAAGGTGGGCCCATTGGCGGGAACGGACTAGACGAGAGTGAAACGGCGCTGGGGCTTACGCGGAACGATGGCGAACTAGAATCGTGGCTGGAACTGACGGAGGGCGGATTCGAATTAGATATCGTCTTGCGGTCTGCTTGTTCCAACAAATTCGGCCGCGCAACCGCTTTGCGGCTCGGAGCCGACTGGGAAGGCGGAGAGTTTGTGCTGGTGAAAGCTAGGGTGAAGTAGACTTGGTGATCCTCAATCTCCCATATTGTCACAATCATTTTGGCGTAGACTTGATGGTCTGATGCTCCCTTGGCCCGAGGATCGAATCCCGGCTTTCCCAGCTCTTTACGGGAAATGACGACATCCACTACGGCATCTTTGACCAAGCATGGACCCGTTGGATGGTCCGGTAATGGCGGGGCGAGCGAATCCGGGGTCGGTGTCGCCTCTCCACCTTGGCCTTGTGCGAACATATCCGCCGCATCCTTGGAAGTCTGGTTTGCGCCCATTTCGAGCACGAGGGAATCCAAAAACGACTCCCATCCGACCCAGACTGGACGACCTTCCTGGATCATGTCGATACCAACCTGGGATAAAGACTGTCCTCTTAATCTCTCGGCAACGTATGAGTTATCTTCGGCCGCATCGTTTGTCATCCCAAGCATCCTCCCCATGGCTTCATTGGCAAGCACCACAGTCTTGAGATTATTCAGAACCAGTATCGGGACTGGCAGATATTGCATGGCGGAAAAAGCGAGTTGACCGGGCGTGATGAAAGGCATCGATATGCGGAAGGGACTAGCTGAGTGTGACCGTTTGCCTTCACCGGGTCCCATTTTGAAGTTCTCGCGGAAGAAGCGGCCGCTGCTGGTCGTACTCGGAGCGCCATCACTGCGTGTTGGTACCGGATCCTCTGGCGGGGATGATGATGTGTCGAAGTTGAACCCGCTCTCTCGAGTAGAAGGCCGCGATCCTGAAGGAATGGGTTTCTGAGATGGTACTGCAGTTTTGAGAGGTGAAATTACTGGACCGCTGCCTCGGGCATGACTGCTGGTGATAACAGGTTCAGGAGGTGGCATTTCGGCGATGGCCCACGCATGGGAAGCTGCGGCTCGCAGGTGAACCTCGGTGTAGAAGCGTGGAATATGTTAGGTTTACAGAGATGAAATTTGGCCGCAGTGGAAGATGAACGTGCAACCCTCGTCAGGTGCCCACGGAGCCGGAGTAGTTGGAAGGAGGTTTGTCGGTGAGCAGTAGGCAGTGACCAGGACGTAACAAGCGGCGGCGGCGGCAGAATGCTAGAGAATCGTGGGGGAGTAGAAGGCGGAGCAGAGCATGGTGCGGCGCCTTGTCTGCGTGGAGGGCGTGCGTTCTGGACCGCCGGAGTAAGGACCCGTCTCCGGATAGACGCTTCTTTGGGAATGTGCTCTAATTGTGAGCAGTCGAGGCGCAGTTCGGCACTGGAGGATGAAGAAAAGCTCAAGCGCCCTTCTTCTTCTTGTTGTCTGTTAGTTTACAAGCCTCCCGGTTTCGTGCGGGAAGAAGAGCGGTAGCAACAAGCAGTGGCAATGGCAATGGACATAAGCGACAACGGCGGCTTGGGGTTGGCCGGGCTGTCCAAGGCGCAAGTTGAGCCGGGAAACGAAGGTATTGGGCACCGGGCAAGGCGAAGAAGAATAATATTGGGGCGCTGGTGTAGAGATTCCCGCGCGGGTTGAATTCGACTGCAAACGGCGGCTTCGAAAAAGAGGCGGCAATGATGAAAGTCGGAGGGGGGGAAAGAGAGGTGCAAGTGCGACAACAAGCAATAGCGGCAGGAGCTTACTTAGATCGGCCTGAGATAGAGGGTGTGAGTGTACATACGTGTTTTTGTGTGTGTCGTGTAGTAAGGTGGTCTCGGATGGATAGACGAGCAGACGAAGAGGAACGAAGTGGTCGGATGGCGGCTTAGATTCCGGAAGTGGTGTGGAGGAGGTCTAGAACATAGCGCAGAAGAAGGTAAGAAAGGGAGAGAAAGCTGCTTTGAAACGCCACCGCGAGATGGGAATGGCAATGGCAAGCAAAATACCGAATGTAAGTACAAAAGCAGAAAAAAGAGCAGGTGCGAGATGACGGGGTTGGGGTTGACGAAGCGAAGGGACAATTGCAGCTCGTCAGCTACAGACGCCAGTGTGCAGTAGTTTGCAGGAGTCGTGTGCGCCCTGGGTCTTGGCTCCGAAGGGGGCACACAGGAAAGAGAAAGAGAGAGAGCAAAAAGCGAGTAGGTAATACGGATGAGTATTGGATCTAGGGTATCTGGATGACGGAGGTAGGAGGAGTTTGAAGGAGAAGCAACAAAAGAAGGGGATCAAGCTCACTCACAATGGACAGTTTGGCGGAGAGAATAGGTATCCGTAGATGCAGAGAGACAGAGCAGGGACAGACCAAAGGGTAGGTATCCGTAAGCTAAGCAGGCCTGAACAGATCGGACAGAACAGACCAAAACTGTTAGATGGAAAGATGGGAATTGAATGGAAAAGACAGGACCGAGCTGACTGTAGGTGCGAGTAGGTGGTGAAGCGTGTGTACGAAGTAGATAACCTAAGGTAGGGTACTCCGTAGGTGTAAAGGTACAGTCAGGATTGGCAGACAGGCGACAGACCAGACAGGCGAGGAAAGGACAAGGGATGGGGCCGTCATAGTCCAAACTTTGTTTGAGTGAATATGGTTCCCCTACCTTACCCTTCCTAGTGGTGTCGTCGGTGATCAAGCATCAAGACGCAGGAGGAGTGGTGGTCGAACCCATGCAACGTCTGGGGGGGCCTTGTAAGGTAGCTTGGAGTGCTTGGTAGGTATCCGTAGGGTAACTTGAGAGGGGGGGGGGGGGAACATGGACACCAAAGCTGAACTGGGGGAACAAGTAGGTACAGGTAAGATGGGACTGCGACCGGGACTGGGGGGAGGGGGGGATTTCCCAAGAAGTGGTGGCTGTGGGTGGTCGGTGGGATAAATGGGCCAGAACCGGACTGGACTGGCCCTGAGTAGGGACTATGGATTGATCATTGAGCTCGCGGGTTGTGTTCATGAACGGACCGGGACAGTACGGTAGTAGTGTACACAATAGTGATTACTGCTATCTACCTTGCGGATACAAGCACACGAGGACAGACGACAGAGAAGAGGTTGAGGGGAAGGAAGGCACAGGGTCAAGGAGGGCTAAACATGGAGGCAAATCGGACTGGGCAATGTTTCTGCTGGATGCGAATCACACCTTGGATCCCCCGCCGCCGCCTCTTCCTCGCTCTCGTTCTTCCACTGACTGTGACGTGCTGTGTGCTGTTGCCGTTGGGCATCCAGTGTGTCGAGTTCTGTGCCGGTGGGCGGGGAAGAGGCGATCTTTTTTATTTTTATTTTTTAGGCACACCATAACCATTTTCATTCCTCCTGTTGGATTGATTCCATGCGCTTGAGAGTTCCAGAGCGAGCGAAAGACAGCGCGCGCGTGAGAAGTGCTCAGGGAGAGAGGGATCGTCATATGCTGTGACAGCGGCGGTGGCCAGAGGGGGGACGGGGAACGGGATTGGATGCGAGAAACGGGGGTTGCAAGGGACAGGACTTGAACGGTACGAGAACTTGTACCTTTCTTTGCTGCATATCATGCCAGGCACAACAAGTACCTCACACCCTCAGATTTCCGTGTATCCTTGTATCCGGATCTGCCAGGTACGAAGGTACTTCTCAATCTCAGGCAGGCTTCTTATTTGGCCATGAGGTGGATGGGAAAGTGGATGGGGGATGCACAAGTTCAATCAGGAAGGCATCGAAATCTGATTCCGGGTCCAGTTACGTATCCTCAAGTACCTTACCTAAGCCACCCTAGCAAGTTCCTCGCTCTCATCCATCTCGATGATCCAGGATGAGCCAGGACAGGCACATTGAGCGGTCTGCAGTGGAGTTTCCGCGCTTTCTATGGCTGGCCACCACCTATAACGCCCTTCAAGCTCACTGTCCTTCAGTGGGCCGTAGCACCTGCCCGCTGGGATTCTGAGAATGGCGGTGCCTATTCGAATGGATACATGGCAGGCATGGACGGAGTGGATCCCTCGCTCGCCCTGCGGTCTGCCCACAGCTGAGGCACCAGCGATGGCGGCCATGGCAGCGATGTTCCTTTCTGTCCAGCCCGTCAAATTCGTGATGCCTGTCGCTCTGCCTTCTTTTCCCACTTCTTCATCATTAAAATCGCCCGACATTTCCAACATTCACTTCCTATCCAGGCTCTCCGTGAGGGATTCCCCTGACCAAGAAACAGCTCGAGACACCAGGCACCGCGAGCGCCGACCTGCTTCCATGTTTCAACTCTATCCAGACCCTTCCCGCGTGGCATCTTCCCGTTCGTCTTTGCGGCCCAATCCATGCCATTTGTCCGTCAATCACATACCTCATCCGAGAAGCCGCAGTTTGTCGTTCTTTTGTACGGTAGTTTCGTACTATCCCAGTTCTCACCAATGTCGGTTTTCGTGTAACAACAGAATACGCCCACATTATGCACTAAACCGCCTCACATCCTCTGCATCTCCCCCTTCTAGGCACATGGCATTATCTCCTCCCGTCTTGTTGCCGGCGTACCTACGCCCACAAACATCCACAATATTAATCAAGCCCGGACGACGGATTGAGGCTCCCGCAACGCAAGGCTCGTGTTCTCGATGTGTTGTCCAGCCCGTTCCCCACCACTGAGAGACAGGCCAATATCGGACTGTGATGGATATCATAATCCACTGCCTCTCTGCTGTCGTGCTGCCCAAACCGAGGCCCCCGACACAGACATGGAACCCTGCGCCGGTCCAATATTTGCCTTGCTGCGACGTGGGCCGCAAAGTCCAACGACGATGACGGCAGAAGAGGATCCTCCGACCGACGAGGCGAATCTCGAATATGGGACACGATGGGGCGTCTCCGGGTGGGTCAACTCGATAAAGCTAGCAAGAATGGAATTTTGCCACAAGTGAAGTAAAGATTGGCGCTCCATGCCGCTGCAGAGAGCGACCCCGACCCTAAGAGAGGCACAGCACACACCACCACCACCATCCTCCTGGTCGCCGTTCGTTCGGGACATTTTTTTTTTCTTTCGTGAGCGACATTCTCATTTTGCTGATCCCTTCTTTGTCTTGCTGCGATCCGCGTGTCTGGCCAGGTCCATCAGGTGTGTCGCTCGGCACCCCCAACCGTCGAGGAATTGGTTCAGCCACGGGCTGCTTCCGCCAATGTCTCAGTCTCTTCTTAATTGCCAGACAGCATGTTGCGCTTGTTCCTGGCAGTCTCACGCTGATTTCTAGAACCAATCCACGGTCAAACCGAGTCGTCTGTGATAATCGAGGCCTCTCAGGCTCTGTCTGCCATCGCAATGGGGTTTCGACCAGGGGCCAACAGTTGGTGAAGTGGCATCAACAGCTGATGGGAAACGTCTGGCGCTAGCTAAAGCCTGGGGATCAACGTCCGTGTATTCGTAGACCCTGAGAGAGACGCAGCTTGGTAGCGAGCTTGCAGTTAAGCGTGGTCTTGCCTGCCACCCTCGTCGCAAGCTGATCCATCAATTGACTGGTGATAGATCGGTTGTTGAGTCTATTGCACCGTTGGAATCCCGTGAGCTGTTCGCATCTGCCGCAGCAGCATGAGACCATGATGACAGACGAGGAGGCGACTGCAGCAACCTCCTCTATACCCGTCGCGTGTCCGGGCGATCCCGCCGGTTCGGTTTGACGTGTGTGACGTTCGCCTGTCCTCGTCCATACATCGCCTGTAGTTTGTACTGAGTGTCCTCGGGTGCCGCTGTAGAGAGCCTATCATGCTGTGTTGTTGAGAATGCTCTTCAATTGCATATTCGAGTGTATTGCTGCTTCGCTAGGTCCTCCGTGAATGCGGCACAGATCATCGTTCGGTGAGTATTTTTCCCGCATTGGCTCATCCACTCACAAGCTCTCGATACTTGGAAGTGATGCCTACTACGCTGGATTCGGATAAACGCAAAGGCTTGGGCTTTGGCTATCCCCGACTGGCGTTTGTCGGTGACAAATTTGCCCTGCGTCTAGACCTCACGGTCTCTCCATCGATCGTAGATCTCCAGCTCGAACGGGTCTAGCCCGCAGGCACTCAAGACGCCTAGACCGGGATGGCCACAGACACGACCAGGGCCCTGGTCGTCTTCTCCATATCGGTGCGCCTTCAGTGCCACCAAAGGCTCCAAAGCTGCGTGGTACAACGCAGATCATCTGACCCTGGCCTTGGTGGTGAGAACCAATCATCCTGGTGCAGCACCACCCTTGTTTTGACAAAGCTTTGCTGCCCGAGCGTGTCACCGTGTTTGCCCTGCCCATTATTGACGTCATCTTGGCATATGCAGTTTTGATTGGTAGTCGGCGTCTCTCCCGAACTGTCAGAACGCAACCAGAAGTCATCAAACCTCGTAGACAAAACGAGTGTAGCTCGAGTGTAGTTCGCTTGTGCCACTCAAGGATTCCATATCATGGCGCATCTTTGTCTTGACATGTGCTGTGTGCATGCCGCCCGTGTGTCATCCACACAATGACTCGACTTCTCCCCCGTTTACTTTGCTTGTCAGCGGTGGGAGCGTAGCACTAGGTCACAATGGGTTGTGGGTTGCGTCTCGTTTCTCGGCGTCGTGAGATATTAGGTCATTCCGTCTCGATTTCGAAACGCAGCCTTACATGTACTGCTTAAAGCAACAGACGACATGATGCAGTGCAGGCATTGCAAAATTCTTTCGCTTGCAAGGGTATCATCGGCCATTTCGTCATTTGGACCCTGAGGATCCAGAGAAAGGACCCCTTCACGTGCCATGCTGCCCTCCTCGTTCCTTTGCTGCCGGGGTTCGTCCATGTTATTCGCCTCTTCCCCGCTCTCTCAAAGTGAATTGTCTTTCATCACTCCACATGTCGAACACGTCCACCACTGCCTTTCCATCATCGTCCCACAATACGAACATTGCCAGGTTAGTGGTTTCACTGGCTCGGGGCGTTGAATGTTGCTGCCAGTATTCCTGCTGCTACTGGCTCTGGGTGGACTGCCTGTGAGATCGATGGTGGCAGGCTGGGTCGTGCTTTCCGCCGTTACTGCCATTGCTGCCCGTTGACGTTCGCGCTCGCGCTTTTCGGCATTTGGTGTCCACACTTGACGCTGAGGGTCCTGACCTCGTTCTGTGCCGCACGCATCGCAGCACAAGAAACTCGCAGGATTATGGAGGGTACAGACTCCGCATGTCCAGCCCCGTTGCGGAGCCGGTTGGGGCACCGGTGCAGACACAACAGGTGGCCAAGTCTCTGGCCTCGGTACCGATGGGGGTCTTGTTCCTGGTCCTGGGATCGGTGGAGGAATACTCCTGCTTATGTTTCCGTGATCTCCCATGACGGACCCTCCCCCGTTTCCAGTAGGATTTTGCGCTGTGGGTGGGATAAAATAGCCACCATACCGCTGACGCTCTTCTTCTTGCACCAGTTCCCAGAGAGCTTGCGCTATCGCAGCTTCGTTGGCCGCATCTTCCTCGGCTTGCGTACGGAAGCCGTTCTTTGTAGCTGTCTCGGAGATTTGTTGGATCTCTCTGTCATTGTGATTCGTGTTACCACATCCTTGCAGCGTACTATTTCTGCGCTCAACTGCGCCCATAATGGTTCGCCGAATATCAGACCCGATGCTAGGTCCAGAGCCACCAAGACGCTGGCCCGACCCCTTAGTCAAAGTGCGACGCTTTTCGGCTGACGCTCTAGCAAGTCGTCGAGCTTCATGCATAGGTATTCGGCCGCCTCCCAGGCGATGTCCATCGGATAGAAATCCTTCACCCGTGTATCCCTTTCGAATGAGCGACTCGTGTTCGTCTCGAAGCTGGTTCCACAATGCGTGGAAATTGCCATCGTGTGGTCCAAATATAATGTGGGAAAGTTCGTGGAGCATTGTGTCGACAACATGCTCGATAGGTAGGAAGAGTGATCGGTCGTTGGGATAACGTAAGCGGACGAGAATTCTTTGGCCTCTATTGATATTGAGACCTGAGTATATCATAATTAGTAGACAGATGGCACCGTCGGACATTTGGCATACCAAGAAGGTTTGCTTGTTCTGGGTAGAACTCGGCTAGTTCTCCCACCTTCCACCCTCTAACTCGCATGATGGGCTTGACCAAGGAGGCCACCTTCTTCAGCGTTTGGAGAGCATCAGGGGCGCGCGGAAAATCCGGCAAGTGAGAGAATGATAGAATGAGAGCATCGTGTTCTGGCGCCATATTGTCGACGTGTATGGTTGTGTGTCGACGTGTATGGTTGTGTGTCGTCGTGTAGTCGTTGTGTAGTCGTAAATGCAAATGCGGAGGAGGAGTTTGGCAAGACCCTCAATCGTCGCAAAGAAGGAAATGAAGAAAAACCAGCAGAAGGTCAACGAGTGACGGGGTATCGAAGAAAATTACAGTCAAAAGCTACTCATGGATAGAGTTTACTAGAATAACGTGGAAAGGAAGCCATTCGCATCGTAAGCAGTGGCTGACACGTACGAAGACGCGTAAGGAGTCCTGATGCCTTTCGGTGATAGGGGGAGGAAGGGTCGGGCGGTGAGTCTTGGACTGTCACTGCCTCTTGGCAAATGGCAGAAATTCAGGCGGTCAGGTGGGGTGGCGGGGTAAGTATTTTGACAGGTGGTGACTAAGCAGCACCCTGGGCGGACCTGGCTCGGGAATCTGCTTCCACCTTGAACTTTCCCACCTTTTGAAGATTTGATCCAGCAGCTGTCAAGCCGCCATTCATTCACCTTACCCATGTATTCTCCCATGGGTCATCGCTTCCTCGATCCCTGAATCGTCGGAATTCCGATGAAATGGCATTGGCCAGTCAACCGAGAGCTTGATGTTGGATGGCCAATACCTGGCGAGAAAGATTTGTCCTAACAGGATCTTGGACGGAAAATCAAGGCAACGACACCTTGAAGAGATTAACTTGCAGAGATCGACCACGCCAAGCGACGGCACTATCCTTCGCTTGTTTCTCATATTAATAAATTTGACGACGTCTCTTGGACATGCCTTGTCAACGGGCTGACTACGTCGAGTTTTTCTAGTCACAACTCGGGCTGGTCATCCATCGGAATCCGGTTGTTCCGACGTCAGGGAACAGCGACTTCTTTCACTGTCCGATCCGGGTTGCAATGACCGGCTTACCACTGTAACTCCGCGATGCCAAATACTCACAACCGTTGTACATGTCCGGGATTTCGGCCGAAGCCTCAAGCGGTGTCTTCCGGGTCACAAAAGCTGTCAACTGGAGGATGCAGAGCGGTTTCAGTTTTGCATGAATGTTGTCAGACCTGGGCCACACCCTCACAAAATCCCTCGTTCTCCCCATCTTGGTATTAGACTTTGAACCATCAAGATGTATCGCAATCTATTTCTCCCGCCCTTTTTCATCGCATGTCTCTAAGCAACTTCAGATGATCGATCTTTATTTTTCGCTTTCCCACGTTACGGATGTCCTCATTCAACATCACAAGTAGAGTGCTGGACTTGCTAGACGTGTTTGTGCCTTCTGAACAGGGGCTTGGCGAACCAACAAGTGGTTCCGGAAGTTCGGCATCGCGACTTGGTTGACCTTGTGGACAGGGGTCGCATGCCCGACTTACAGTGTTTCGGAAGCCAAGCATACGGCCATAGAGGCTCCCTCACACCTTTCGGCGTACAGTGTCCGCGAGGAATCACGCTTTGAGATGATTTGAATGATCGACTGTCGCAGGTCGTCTACGGATGCGCCTCTTTGGGAGACTGTCGACTCCGGCGGGCAAACTCGAACGACTCAGCCCCTGGTGCCTACATCAGGTCTTCCGTCGCCAGGCCCGGAAAGTGGAAATTTCTCCCTCCGTCTTGCGATTCGTCATTGCCTGGATGGCGATCCAACTGGTGACTAGGTATTCGAGCATTTCGAAACGGCTGAGAAAGGTCGATCTATGCGTTGCTACAATGGTAAGCGAACTTGGCGAAAGCTTGTGTGCCTATTTCCCCAGGACGCTCCGCGCTTCCAAGCCTTTTGTTTTCCTTGTGTCACTATCTTCGTACTATTATTCTTCCTAGACTGTTGTTTATTGAAAGCTCTGTGAGCTTCCTATCTGGCTGGCTTCACTCCTTCGCCAGACTCTTCTCTTCCTCCGAGTGGCCATGCGTTTTACCAAGCCAGCTGCAGTGGCAGCATTCATTCCCTTTGCTTCTCATCTAGTAGATGCGGCGCCTCGGAAAATAGAAATCTCTACCCTGGGTGGTGCTGCCTTTCGAATTGAGCAGGCTCCCAATCCCGACTTTTACTATGGAAACAGGCGAGGGCCCATCGCCTTGGCCAGAGCCTACTCCAAGTTTGGGCAGCAGATTCCCGACGATCTACTGGGTCTCATCGATCAAATCCTTGGCGAACTTGGATTGCTGAATGGAGGCAAAGGCAAAGGCGGTCGCAAAGGGGGCAAGGGTGGCGGCAAAGGAAAGGGCAAGGGAGGAAAAGGAGGCAACGCCGGTGCTGGTGGTTCCAAGGGCAATGGCACAACCACTGCTCCCGGAGGTGGAGGTAATAAGGGGAATGGCACAAAGACACCTCCAGGTGGTAAGTCTACAAGTTGGCTACTCTGGGTTAAGCTAATAGTCTTGAAGGAGAGGTTGCGGCAATTCCCGCCGAGTTCGACAGCCAGTATCTCTGCCCTGTCCAGATCGGCACACCGCCCCAGACTATCCCGCTCAACTTCGATACCGGATCTTCGGATCTATGGGTCTTCAGCAGCGAGACGCCGATAACTCAAGTCGCTGGGCAGGCATTGTACAACATCAACGCCAGCACGAGTGCCAAAGTCCTCCAAGGCGCCTCCTGGTCGATCTCATATGGTGACGGTAGCTCGTCCCAAGGTAATGTCTACATGGACACCGTCACGATCGGCGGTGTAACCGTAGAAAACCAGGCAGTCGAGTCTGCTACTCAGGTGTCGTCGTCCTTTTCTCGGAATAAGAACCAGTCTGGTCTTGTCGGGCTCGCCTTTGGCAACATCAACACTGTTCAGCCTACCAAGCAGAAGACCTTTTTCGAGAATGCCATGACCAACCTCGCCATGCCACTTTTCACAGCAAATCTCAAAAAGGCAGCGGGTAAGTCTAGATATCACTTCAAAGCTCCTCCAAGACTCTCAAACTAACCTCCAAATCACAAAGCTGGCAACTACAACTTTGGCTTCCTCGACTCAACAGAGTACACCGGCGATATCACCTTCGTCCCCGCCAACACGACGCAAGGCTTCTGGCAATTCACAGCCCAAGGTTTCGCCGTCGGCTCCAACGGCAGCGCGCCCACCTCGGCCCCCCACGCCGCCATCGCCGACACGGGCACGACGCTCATGCTCCTCCCCGACGCCATCGTCTCGGCCTACTACCAGCGCATCGCGAGCGCAAAATACGACGCCACCAACGGCGGCTTCGTCTTCAACTGCAAGGACCAGATCCCGTCGTTTACCGTCGACATGGGCACGTACCAGGCTGTCGTCCCGGGTGACTTTATGAAGTTTGCTCCCGTCGATGGACAGACGATTGAGACTTCGACGACGTGCTTTGGGGGTATTCAGAGCTCTGCGGCTTTGCCTTTTGCGATTTACGGGGATGTTTTCCTAAAGTCGCAGTTTGTGGTGTTTCATGGTGGGAACAAGGAGTTAGGGTTTGCGAATAAGCCCCTTTAATGAATAAAGGTAGACAGACGCTGGACGTTATCTGTTTTTGTAATGCGAGGGGCGGTGGTACAAGGCTTGATGGGTCTCAGCAGCGCCCATCGTAGACGACATGTATTTTGCTTATTCGGTAGAACAGATTCAAAGAGCACTTAGAAAGTAATTTCTATCCCTTGGTACCTCGAACTCAAGAACCTACCTGCTCATCGAAGGTAGCCGTATATCCTGGAACCTCAGGCACATCCACTCCAGCCTATCCACGTATTCACACCCCAGCCGCCGCTTTTCATCCCAACATCCAAGCCACCACACTATGGCCTCAGTCACCTAGATGGTCAACCACCACACCGGCCACCCTCACCCTACATCTACAACATTCTTGCTCAAACGGATACCTGCCCCGGGGGACGCCCCGGGAACGCATTAGCCGAGCGGTTAAATACTGAGCAGAAAATTCCCCTGGGGGGGTGGGGTTTTCATACGTCAATGGTTCAACACCCTGACCGAACTTTTAGGACAAATTTTCTACAGATCTCTTTTTATTTTTGGAGATTATATTTTGACTGTATGGCATTCAGAATTGGCAAAAAAAGGTGTTGAAGTGGTGTTTCTGTCGTTTGAGGGTCTGTAAGTTAGTGGTGGTGGTGGTGGTGAGATCTGTATTATTGACAGAGCTGTGTTGCGTATGCTACGGTTGCCAGTGCCAGGGAAAGCGCGCCGTGCGCGAGGTTAACAACTTCGACTGCGCTCCTGCCGCGCATAGATTTGAGAACCGTAAGAAAGAAAACTGGCGAGCCCATCTGCGTACTTTTGCTACCGGCTAACCTGGAGAACGAAATACAGACAAGGCCTCCTTCCTCCTAGGATTCATGCATCCGCCTCCTCGTGCTTTTCGAACCAAGTCTGCCTCGCCTTCCAGACAACCTTTGTATTGCACAAAGTACGCGTCTAAGATCGCCTTGCTATAGGTTTCCAGGAGATGGTAAGGGAGTCATCACGATCGGCAGTTCTATTCCACACCTCGCTTCCAAATTCGAGGTCATGATAGCGTCAGTAGCGGTAGCTGGAAGAAGTACCTAGCTCAATCTTCTGCATCATTTCAAAGAAAGTCTGGCCGCCAGGAGACCCATGATACTCAATCCTCCCTTGTATTTTCTACGAGTACAGCAGTAAGTTTGTCTAGATTGAGATTGTGTTCAGTGAATAAAGGAGGTGTTGGCCATCGCAGGTTAGGTACCCATGTTTCAACTTCACGCTTGCCTTTCTCTTCTAGCTTCGTGAGTTCAAATCATCACGACAAGCAGAAGTCACTTCAATCCGTTTTTCTTCGCTGGTATAGACCATTTAGGCCAAGGTATGTCCGGGCCCTGCGATCCAAAGGCAATCGCTCGAATAAACTACTTCAACCCAGACGGGATGTGATACAAGGTGAGTAGATACGGACGATCTTGTTGATCTCCACGCAGTCCAATAATGGCCAGGGCAAAACCTCAAGTCCTTCATCGTCACCGTCTACAGTTTCTTCCCGCGCAACATAAGCTAGATAAATCGCTAGGATAAAAACCATATGACTAAAAGTTCACTTTCCTCGCAGGGCTGGGATCTGGAGAGTGTTCAAGAGAGCGGCCTTGTACGGGTTCCAGACTATACCATTATCTCAGACGAGTCCTCCTCCTCCTCCTTCAAACTCCCCTTTCCCCAATATGAGATCTCGTAAAGTTGAAGACAGCCCGATCTATGCCGCAGAATTACCGCAGCTAAAATTCTCGAAGAACTAACAACTAGGTATGAACCGGAATAGTTTCCAAGTAAGCCGTCAGAAAATTGCATGGGCAACACTACTCAAAAGTATCAAGGAAATTCGCGAAGCTGCACAATGACAAAAGGGAGCAAGTAGACATAGCCTACCAGGTTTGAAGGGTGCAGAGCAGGTATTGAGATGACATTGCCACCATTGCGTTACATCCATGCGACATCACTAATAGTTTGAATCACGTCTGTATCATTCATAACTCACATACTTGAGGCAACGTAGTATTCTAGTTACCATTACTCTCGTATAAGCCTTTCTACGTGTAGACTCTTTCGCTTTTCTCTCTGGTTGCTTATGATACAAGCAAAAGCCCAAATGAACAACGCACCACTGCTTCTCAAGCTGCCTCACTTCCAGGGGGGCCATGATACTACGCTTGCGCATCTATTCAAGCTGACCCATCATCCAGAATTAGCAATCCTAAACATGGTCTTATCCCGGCTTCGGACATTATAGAGCCAGTTGTTTATGGCAACTTATCTGTAGTCCATTTTGGCTACCAGTGGATACGTACAAGGATTGATGTAAGGGGTATATCATCCTTTCGGTGTTCGATATGATGTGTCATGTTTCGGAAAGGGAACCGAGAGAGTAAGAACCGGTACAGAACATTGGAGTCTTGATATTATTTCTCGCCCATCGCACATGCTAATGGTTCTAGATAAACGACAAATCAAGGAGGGATATTCTTGAGGCCGTGGTAAGCTGTTGCATGTGAAGATGCATCACGAGGACATCACGCAGTATGATAAGCTAATGGTCACCATGGTGTTTCCTGTGAGCAGGGACAGTAATGAACCATATTCAGAAGCACTTCTGCACAAGGGTCCTCCGTAAATCACAAGTAGCCGAAAGTACGCTCCTGTGATTGAGTCAATGTTGAGAGTGGCGTCCGCTCCAACGAAGGCGAGCAGTCACTACGGTCTAGGATCGCAGGCGACTCGGTCAGATGAGTGTTGAGCCGCAAACTTACCAGGGCTAGCGACAACGATTCACCGGCTACTTGGTACGCGAGCCCGTGTGTCACCTCCGCAATGCTAGCAAAGGCAGGTAACTGTGTAAGTAGTCCCGCATTTTGCAGCAACTGCCGAGGCTTGTCTTCCGTTCTGAAGCGACATTCAACAATCCCCCCCCCCCCTCCCCGTCGAAGTGTGCCAGGTGACTGAGGCTGAAGGTGTGGTCCATCAAGTCGGCTAGACGCCGGGCGCCGACCGCTTCAGAGACCGTTCGCGCCCGCGTTGCCGCCCATTGTCACACCTCGATGAAGCGGCTTCGGTCGGCGGGAGGTTCCCGAGCCAGTCCAAAAGCGGAATGGGGCGATATCGGAGGCTGACCAATCCCACTGGCCGCTGGTGGAACGACCGTCTGGCGTCTGCCATCCGCCATCCTGCCGTTCCTTCACCCTTCACCGCGCGGGATTTGACACCTTGCTCATTGCTCAATTTTCAGCGATGGGCAGATGGGCCTCAAGGCCAGCCAGTGAGCTTCTGGTCCCGGCCCTGGTCGCATCGTCAATGGCCGGAGGAATGCAGACCGAGACAAGTGATGAGCCCGGAGGGGTGGAGACATCGAGCTCACCGGGTCCCGACGAGGAGATGGATGTGGCACCCGCTGCCCGCTCCCGCCACCCTCTTTTTTCATGTTGTGCAAGGACGGCAGGCGCCATGGACAATCATAAAGGTGGTTCGGTCCGATCCTGATGTTAGGTGTGCTGAACAGTCGCGCTGGTTGGATCACTCCAAAAGTCCAAATCGACAAGTCGAGATGGCAAATTTCAAAGTCTGGGGCGGTATAGTATCCATAACTAAGAGAGGTTCGGCTGTAAATGTCGATGTTGTTTTTCCTGCACATGCCATGCAGGCAGACAAGAACAGACGGCGCGACGGCTATCTGAAGCGCGAATCCCACCAGTGTGTACGCACGTCTTTCGTGCATATGCCGCTAATCATAGACACACCTTGACTGTGCCAGGTCGCCGACTCGGCGGGAGAGTCTGGAAGGTCAAATACAGGCATACCGTAGAAGTGGAGACTTGCCGGCTGAATGTGCAATGGTGTTTTGACGTAGGCCCTCTGTCCATGGGACTGCCGAAGTTGCAACGTTGATACACACAATGGAAGCATAGCCACAGTGTAACTTGCAGAGGGTGGCTGGTAATTCGGAAGAGGACTTCAATACTGGCGCCTTTGCCAGCTAAGGCATCTCAAGAAGCAACGATGTGATGGACACCAGCTTCTTTCATCCGTGATCCTTGCGACTGACAAACTTGACATGGGGGAGCATGTTTGGACTTAGGCAGTTGCATCGTATGGCCATCTGAGTAGACAAAAGCATTGCAAAGCATGTAGCAGAACGTTGCGGCCTTCATTTCGTTCGAGGGGAAGTGCAGGTGCAGCGGGATTGCGAAGTGGATGATGATTCGTGAGTTAGGCCAAAAGAAAGAAACGCTCGAGTGCTAGTGTGGGGGGATGAGCGGAGACCTATCGGAAAGGGAGTTGCGGTGAGGCTGGCGGTATTTTCCGGTGAAGCCAGACTCCATTGGTTGAGCAGATGGGCGAGAGAAGTGAGACTCTGAGAGGATGGATGGATGGATGGACGCAGCATTGGGTTGTTGTTCGTGGGACAGCGAGGAACCGGTGGTTGTGGCCGACTCACAAGCAGCGCGCACTGGGCACGGATATCGTGAGTGAGTACTGGTAGGAGAGGTGTCAACTCTGTCGAGGGCCACTTCCATACAGCCAATTAGCTTAGCAAGCCCAAGCTAGATGTCGACCTCAAGTCCAACTTTGCACATCCGTAGGGGGAGACCAATGGATTGTTGAAATATTGCGTAACGAGATAGGGCTCTGATCTCGAGTCTGAAGGTTTTTAGTGAATCATATTGTTCTCTCTACATTGGGCTGTCGTTGATGTCCGACCAGAGTGCGGATAATTAGAAGAGGAACCGAGCCATTGGCCCAGGGCTGTGGGGGTTGACAGCCCCCGCTTGGATCCATTGCAAGTGCAGCAAGAGGTTTGGTGGGTAGTTGTTGGAGACTTGCAGTTGCATGCTTTGCAGCCTGAAGCCTGAAGGTGAGCCAGCGACTCAGCTACCCGATCTTTTTACTCGGTGGGCGGAAGAGCAGGGAGCGGGCGGGCGGGACGAGACCTGACCATGAGACGAGGAGGCACAGCGTATCCGTACAGCGCAAAGCGAAGGAGACGGTGACAGGGACAGGACAGGGTCCACGTGGTGCGCATGACATGTCTTTCTTTGCCAGGGCCGGTTGGTGTTGCATCGCCAGAGGTGCTTCCCCATTGTCGTTCTCGTCATGATTTGCTCTATGGGTACGTCTGTGTTGATACTGTTCCTCGCTTCCATCAGTCAGGCAGTGAAGAGGCAGGGTAAGGCGATACCCGAAGAATGACTGGCTGTATGGAAGCACACGGAATCTCGCGAGGTGTGTGTAATGTGTATGCGACGACGAAGGTCATTGACTTGCATCTCCTCAGCTGTTGTTGGGTTTCCGAGCTTCTCCGTAGTCAAGCCGCACATGCCAAGCGGAGGGGACATGGCTAGAGCCTAGACGCCCCCCAGCCGAGACACCGAGAACAGACGTTCACACACCATTGCTTGGTCGGTGAGCATGTTGGGTCGCTGAAGATCATCGACCGGGCCGCACGACAGATCTGACGGGCTGGGCTGGGCTGGGCTAGGCTTTATTGACTGGGCTTCGAATCCTGTGAGAATGCCCGGATATCTTTCAATATCGTGCGTATCTGTCGACTCCTCGGGTTTAAGTGCGGCCATTCCAGATCGGACTGCGAGAAGATGTCCGTTTGAGTGAGTGTGCGTGTATGGAATATGTGTGCATGCCTAAGAGAAGGAATCTTTCATTGCCCTCGACATCTCTGCCTGCCCTTTCCGATCTCACGCAGTGCTGGTTCTACCTTGCCTTGGAGAGTGCTGAAGGTGTGGACACTGTCGCGGTGATTGATGGCTGGGAGCTTGGGACGCTTCAGCCAGGACCCCATAATTCTACTCGATTCAAGCATCTCGTTAAGATCTAAAGTGGATCGCGGGGGAAGAAGGAGTAGACAAGAACTGGCTGGCCAAGGTAAGGTATGTAGCTCAAGGCCTTGTGTATGGTGGTAAGGTGACGAGTGGTGATAGGTTATGTGGTCAGGTAAGGTAAAGTGGGCGGACGAGACAAGACGAGAAAAGGCCGATGGGAGAAAAAAGAGGTTCGGAGCAAAGAGCGGCGGATTAGCAGTTTAGCGGTTTGGCGGCAAGAGCAACCGTCGTATTTCCTCTCTCTCTCTCTCTCTCTCTCACCTGCCAACCCGAGACAGGTCCCCCGTCCTCCATGCTTGCCTTGGTAGCTCACCGTCGGACAAAGTCACTTCCCTGCCAAAATGACGGCACGGAGTACCTTGAGGTCTTGGATAGGGAAGGTGTCCCCGCCACGGCGCAGCAAACTGCCCGTGGCCCATCCCACTTCACCTCGCACCTTCCCACCTTTTGCAGAATCTGGTGCGTGCGCGTGTGGAGGTGAAAGGTCACCCACCCCCCCGGTGGCCCCCCCTGGACCCTTCCTTTGACGTGCCAGGCGCTGTTTCCCCCTCCTTCCCCTCCAAGGGTTAAGAAAAAATTAAAACGGTGCCGGGTCAAGCGCTCCGTAGCCTGACAAGTTAGGTTGTTGACTTTCGATTTGCTACCTATCCATGGATGTTTACCTTGCCTTAGGTGATGGGAAAGAACGCTGGTGTAATATGCAGTGGCTGGTGTAAATGCGGGTGCGGCTTCCTTTCCGAGATGTACCAAGGCTAGGTAGTTGAGGTAGGAAGGAAAGAGTGCACCCAAGTTCCTTCCATTCCATTGGGTTGAGTGATTGAGTCCAAGTCACTCTAAGAAACAGCATGAGGCAAAGTACCTTCCTTACCTTGAGGTAGACAGACCAACAACTACCGATCAGACGATGTACTTGATACATACCTTACCCTACAATACAGATGCAGATGAAGATGTAAGGTAGACAAACTTGCACCACGAGGTTGCAGGTGAAGTGGGCTGGCCAGCTCGAAGCTGACTTAGAAGTTAGACTGGGCTCGGCTGGGCTGTGTCGTGCGACCTACTACAACGCGCCTGCCTCTCTCTTCTCCGTACGAATACCCGACGACTGCTTCCTTGTGCCTAGGTAGTAGGTATTCCTCTTCTCGCGCGCTCTGTCATGGTTTCTTTTTCATTTCTTTTTCAACTTGCAAGTGCCTATCAACCTACACCCATCTCCGCGAAAACGATTGAGCCATTCAGACCTCACAACTTATATTGCATTGAATCTCGCATGGACGTAGTCACTTAGGGTGCAACGGAGAGTTGAGGTGAGCAAAAACCTTGTGTGAAGAAGAAAATATGATGATGTTCACACTCATCCACCGATGGAGACTTTGGTGAAGCGTGATGCTGGGAAAGAAGAGGAACCCGGTCCTCTTGAGATATCCACACCTGCCATTGCAACGACTCAGAAAACCTGTGGAAAGGACCGGGGGACTCGACTCTGCGGGGATTTCTTTGCGTACCACGCGTCTTGGCTCCTTCTCTCCGTCTCTCTGTGTCTCGCTCTCTAACTCCCTTTCTTAGCAAGCTGAGAGTAAAACCCGACAGAACCTGAGCAACGAGTATCTCCAATATACCTTGGACCTTATTACCCGGCGAACAGAATATAGAGAGACAGCCGACTACAGAGTAACAGAGGCTCAGAGCAAACCCGCTCAGCATCGGCAAGCAGCAGTAGTAGCAGCAGCAGCAGCAGCAACAAAAAACATCAGACCGAAACCCGGACCCAGACCCGCTCGATAAAAGTCACAACCCTCACCCGAATCACTCACTCAGCACCAAAGCCCAAGCATCGAACTCTCTGAACCCAAAATCCATAACATCCACGATCCCTGTCGCAGGGTTCTCTCGTCTCCCAGTCTCGTCCCTCTCCCTGCTACCTTGTGCTACACCTCTGCAAGTCACTTGGTTCACCTCAGTCGACGATACTCGGTACCCTCAGGTGCTTGTTCAACCGCCGTATCTATTGCCCGTGTATTTCTCGCTGCAGGAAAATCGAGAGAAGTTAGTTGTACCGGCCCGGTCAACAGATTATCATCCGTCCATTCAGACTGTATGTATGTATGTCTCTCTCTTCCACCCACGCCCAACTTTCTCCGTTCCCCTTCACCCGTTCCCGTCCCCCCGGCCTGGACTGATCGGTACCCTGGCAGAAGTATCCATACCTCGTCGCCTTTCTCTTCTCCCACCACAACGTCCAAATCCACACAAAACGACATCTTGGAGAGGGTTTTACACTACGCAGTAGACGTACCTACCACCAGTGACAACAGCCCCCTACCACAACCACCAGTTCACTACCACACTACTCCATACCTAACCAGAGGTTCAGTACCACCTCACCTCCCGATCTCAATTCCCAGCGCCGTACCTTACCGGGGGTCCTGGCCCGTGCTTTCTTCGCTCTTTCCCTCTCCGGTGCTCGGTGCACGTACCCTTAAATCCTGACCGACCGACCTTATTTTTATTCGTGCACCTTGGCCTCGGCCCTCATCCTCCCACCTTCACACACCTCGAATTGAGACGGTCGTCCACCGAAACCAAGTCTGATTGTCCTTCTTTAATTATCGACCGTCCCTGCGGTGGCTTCTTCCGGTTTTCGGGTCTCAATTGGCATCCTTTGCACTCGGCGCATTCTCTGTTTGGCTGCTCCCCGCCTCCGAGGACCCGTTTCTTTTACCCCTCACTTTTCTCTGTTCGCTCTTTCGCGTCGGTGAATCTCGGTGGGGCACCACCACACAATCTGCCCAACTTCAAAGAAAAGGCGCGACAGCCAGACAGAGTCAAGTGTGTGTGTGTGTATGAGAAGAGAAGGGGCGCGGGAATTCCACTAGCCACCCTTTCTTCTTGAAACTCTTTTTTCTTCTCTCTTCTCTCTCATCTTTTCCGCCACATACAAATACACCAACGCACACCGAGGATGGGTCAAGGGTAGTTGCTGCTGTGACAAAGGGAATAAGACAACACAACTTGCAAGCATGCATCCGGCTCCGAATCTGTTGGAGGCGCCTCCGAAGAATGGCAGTGAGGAGTCTGGAAACAGACCCCAGACTGGCTCACCTTCAATGTCTCATCATGAGCTGCCTCAATCGCAACAGTCTCCGCTCCAACAACAGCAGTCATTGCCACCGCAGCATCAACAGCAGCAGCAAACGACTCCTCAGCACCAGTCACAGCAACCTCCCCCCACCCCCGGTCAGTCGGCTTCTCCTCCCCTGAGGAAGGACACCAACTCGTCCATATCAACTCAGGCCACGGCGGCATCCGCTGCCACCAATATGTCCGTGGACACAAGCAACACATCGTACAGTGCCGACACCTCTCCTAACTTAACATCCATATTCCATGTAAAGGATGGCTCCGACGTCTCTAACCGGGTCCGCGCGAGCAGGAGGCGAACCGGTCCTTTGTCCCAGCAACAGAGAGAGAAAGCCGCACTCATCAGAAAGCTGGGCGCATGTAACGACTGTCGCAGAAGGAGAGTTGCAGTAAGTCACTCATGACCCTTGATGTCTTCATTGTCAAAAAAAAAAAAAGTGCTCGCCCCTGCTGACAATCCTAACCTTGCCAAGTGCCACCCTAGCCATCATAACATGACATGGGAGGATGCCGTCAGGAAATATCATAGGTCTCACAGTCCCAGCATCCAGGATATCGCCCCGTCTATGGCTGGCCAGCGGCCGCTTAGCCCAGCGCCGGCCCTGAACAACAATAATGTGAAGTCAATGTTCACACAGGACCCCGAGGAGATGGAGATAGACTCCCCGACGCCTCCGGGTGGTCACCGACTCAGCGAATCACGGATTCGCACGCCGCTTCCGACCGGACCCAGGCTCGACAAGCCCCCGGTTTTGCCTGGCATAGAAAGTCTCAAATCTGACTTACAGACCAACGTTTCGAGAATTCTGTCTACCCCCAGTCGAAGTCGCTACTCTAGTGCACAGGCCTTACTTCTGTACTGGCAGGACGACCCTGATTTCAGTGTTGGCAGCTCTGTCAAAGAACTCGGAGAAGTTTTCGACCAGTATTACCGGTATACTTTTTCGATCACGACTATTCCGTCTGCTTCAGAGGCCTGCAAAAGCCCGTGGAGATGGCTCTCGCGCAAGATTACCGATTTTGTGGAGGATCGTGATCAACGGGACGTTTTAAAGATTGTCTACTACAATGGTCATTCCTACTTAGACGGCAATCGGGAGATGGTGCTCGCCAGGTGAGTACTTCTCAAACAGCGTACTTTAGGGGGCCCGGATCTGACCTTTTGCCAGCTCAAAAGACAAGGACAAGGCCGAGACCATCCGATGGAGTGGCATTCAGCAGGTGCTTGAAGAGGCTTGTTCAGACACCCTGATTGTCATGGACGCCGCGTTCTTTCCATCTTCGAAGATGCACCGTCAACAAGGTGTCTTGGAATTGGTAGCTGCTGCTGTATCTGAGGAACACTTTGACGCCTTGGATCGATGCACATTTACCAAAGTTTTGACCGAACACCTAAAGACACGCGCCTCTCAACGATTCACGAGCCCCTTCTCCGCAGCAGAACTTCACTCGAAGCTGCTGTCCAATTATCCTTCTCTTGTTCAGGATAGGAATCCTGAAAAGGAAACGATTACGAGTTTTCCGTCTCCTCTCCACATGCAAATGTCTGGAAATGCTCGACTACCCTCGATTCTTCTCGCACCTCTCAACATCGGTCCCTTGAGGACAAGCCTTCCGTTCGGCACAGAAGGTCAGCAACTGGTTCTGTCTTTCCGGATAGGAGACGAACCAATTGACATTGACAACTGGACCGAGTGGTTGAGAATGATGCCCGAGGGTGTCAAGGATGTGAGGGTTGATGGCCCTTTTCGACCATCAAGATAGCCTTCTGGTGGCCTAAGCCTGCTAGAGTATAGAAATCAGGATCACTCGAAACGGGCGTCAAAATAGCCTGGCGGTGCTTTGCCGCCGTATTATACGTTTATCAATTCCTCGAGTCCTATTGTAGTGGAACAACCCCTCGACAAAGGACGCCACCGCGGGAAGCGGCGCGGCTACGAAATAGTCACGAGACTCCGCCAGTGGATTTGCGACTGTCGAAACTTCACTGTCTGCCGAGCTATCAGACGCAGCCTGTCTCCGCCAAAACCCCTCTTTGTCTCAGCGCCCTTCACCGGGCCTGCTTTCACGCGTTAATGACTGATTTTCACGACATTGCATCATTCATACCTCCTCGTTAGGTCTGGGAGGCGAAGGGTCGGAGTCGGGAGAGTCATACATATTATTTTTCCACGTCAAACCAACCGAGCATGGAATTCTGGGAGAGGGTCCGGTGTTGAGGCGAGAGAGATTTCACACGGCTTAGCGAGGAGTAGAGTGTGTGGTGTGCTCGGCGTAGAAATTTCACGGGAATCGGGAGGTGGGAGCAAAGGGACGGTGGTTTCTTGACATGGCATGACACGCAGCGGCCTTTTCGACGCAGTCATGTTTTATATGGAAGGACATTTGCATTAGTGGATATCCCAGATTCGCTTTTTAAAGACTATGCATCTCTCTTCTCTCCCACTGTCATATCTGTTCTCAATCTCCCACTCTCTTTCTTTCTCTAACGAGATTTGTGTAGAACGAAGTCTTGCTTCTTCCCCAACCTCTGCTTTGCCCTCTGTCATGAAAGATGTCCGTGATCCTGATGCTGACCGACTCCAGAGCAGTATCCTGTTTTCCTGCTCTCAAGGGAGCGACGATGGCGAAGTGCCCCAAAAAGTCCCTTAATCTCGGGGTAACGAGGGTTGTACATATAGCAAGAACCCAATGCCGGCCGTAATGATACACAAAAAAAGGCCGTTAATGCGCAAATCTCTCTCTTTCTCTCGTTCACATAAAGCAGGAACTCTTTAGATCGCCAGCACCAACATCGCCGCCACCGCACTCAGCAACCCAGCCACGAAACTAACACCCGTCCTCGTGGCGGGACTATTCGCTTCGATGTTGCCAATCGCGAAAGTGGGGTTATAGTCCACGTCGCTGGTATCCAGCGTGCCGTTCCAGCAGTACCGCGAGAAACACTGCGCACACGCATCCGGCACGGTTTCGCGCGAGCGCGCCATGCTGCGCGAGAGCACGGCGCAGGCGACGCAGACGGGCCAGTTCGTGTCGAGCGTCGCGTTGCCCTGGGTAGCCGAGTCGTAGCCGTTTTGGATGATGGCGTCGCGCTGGTCGAGCTCGTAGCTCGGGTCAAATGTTGAGACGTTGGAGTGGGCGACGTAGGGTGCGTTGGGGAGGTATACAACCAGTGGAGGTACACGCTGGTTGCCCGAGAGGGTAAAGTTTGAGGCGTTGCAGCCGAAGAATGTTGGGCGGCGGTTGAGGCCTAGGTTGATAAAGGTGTTTGCGTCCGGGACGGGGGGAAAGAGGGTTCCGTTTGCGATGGGCTCGGCGACGCGGTCGTAGGTTGCGCGGAGGGCGGTGCCGTTGGGCCAGTTGTAGTTTGTGTCGGCCGAAGAATCGACGGCGAAGATTACGTCGACGGCGCGGTTGGGTTGGATCAGGGGGTGGAGGGGGATGTTTTGGAGGTCTTCGCCGCCGTCGACGAGGGAGAGCTGGGTCTGGTTTGCGTTTACGTTTGTGCGCGGGTTGTAGCCGTAAAAGGGGTTGGGCACGTATTGGGCGATGTCATTGTTGTCCTGGTCCAGGACGTTGAGGATGCTGGTGAGGGCGGATTGGATGAAGTCGGGCAGGCCGGCGGAGGAGAGGTTCTGGAGCATGAACTGGTTAAAGAGGGAGGAGGAGGTGCCCATGACGAAGCCGGCCTGGTCGAAGCCGCGGACGCAGGAGCCGTTGTCCGGAACGCGGCCGGCGGAGAAGTTGGAGGCGAGGTAGCGGAGGGGCGCGAAGCCGTAGGCTGTGTTGTCCCAGGTGCCGAGCTCAAAGGGGTTGAACTCGTAGACGGTAGCGTTGAGGGAGATGATGCGCTCGTTGGGAGCGCGGCCGTCGGAGACGAGGATGGGGAAGGGCTGCTGGCCGGACTGGAAGTCGGGCATGTCGGCGATGGAGGAGAAGGTGTAGGATGGCCCGCCGTCGGTGGCATTGATGAGCTGGTACGACAAGGCGCGGCCCCAGTAGTCCGTGATGGAGACCTCGAAGCCTTGATCCTTTGTGTCGACTTGCTTGGCGACGTCTCTCCAGTACTCGGCTGTGTTGAGGATGGACAAGCCGGATTCCTTGGGTCCGGAAAAGATGGATCGGTCGAATTTCCAGACGGCAGACCCCTTTGAGCCGCGCTGCAGGTCGACCACCGAGGAGAAGTTGTTAGTGAACATGGAGCCGACGAGCCATCCACCACCGGAAAGACCGGCAACGTAAGTCGCGGACTGGAGGAGGCCCCCGATCTGGCCGGCTGATGTCGAATTGGGACTCCGGCTGTCTGCGGCAGCGAGGAAGCCGGCGCCGTTCATGAGGGCGCGGTAACCACCTCCTGACACGGCGAGGGCAATGTTGGGAAGCTGCGATGACGAGGACTTTACACGGTCGATGTAGGCGCCGGCATCAAAGTTGGGGATGCTGACGCGGGTTAGGAACTCGCGCATTGGTTCGACTGTGACGTTGCGGCGGCGCGTGAGCCATGCTGTCTCATTCGGCGACAGGGCCGATGCGGACCGGATTGTGGGACGGGCGGACGGGCAGTCGACGATCGCGGGGGCGTAGCCCCCCGATGGGGAGTCGGGAAGGGCACGGGGGTCCAGGGCCTCCATGATGAGCCCGGCCGCCATTGGCTTCACGGGATCGACCGCCCACACTGGGGCAACGGCAGCAGCCACTGCCAATAGGGATGGGAGCATCATTGTGTGGGAATTCTCTTTGGTCCTGGGCCTATTGGATAGGTTGAACCAGGTGTTTTTGATTTGGAAGTGGGCAAACAGAAAGGGAGCTTGAAAGGGGGCATCAAACAAAAAGGATTGGGTGTGAAAGATATATGGATAGCCCAGACTCCAAAATAGAAGGAGGACGGATCGGAAGGGACGGTAGAGATGGGCGACGGATGGACACTAGTAGTAATAGGATCCAGCGATGGTCGACCTTGTGGGCATGGCCCAGCGGCTGTGCGGTGCGGCGACTTTGACGGGGATGAGAAGGCTTCGGCTTTTTTCACGGACCCGTCAAGCTAAAGAAGGTTTTCGCCTGGTGTCGGCCGGTATGACGTCGAATTGGAGAGTTTTTCTGAGTGCGAGCGCGGTCCTTCTTTTTGATCGGACTGAGACGTCGGGATGCCGTGGTCTTTTTGCTACAACAGAGCCCCTTGTTGGCCAATGCTTGGTTGCTGATGGAGGAGCGATGCGATTTGACGGGAGGTTCAGTTCCTGCGTTGTCCAAAGTGGGTGTTGGGATGAGTTGTCAATGGTGAGAGCTAGGATTAGTTGAATTCCCAGTGACCGCTCCCAAACGTGACGACGTCGTCTGCGAGAACGAAAGGAACCTCAAGTTCGGGAGATTGGTAGATGTTCAATCAAAGGGTCCTCAAGCGAGAGGAGAGCGTGGTCCAGCGGCTATTAAAAAGGTGTTGTAAACGGCGGAGAATTCCACGATACGACGGTGGAGTCTGAGTCTGTCCGAGAACCTGAACAAGGTCTCTCTGATTGAGGTGATATTTGATCTGACCCTGTGTGCGGTATCCGTAAAGTTTCATGTGTGGACTGGCGAATGAGAGGGAGATGAGTACTGTGTAACTCGCAGAGCCTAATAAACTAGGCGTCCTGGGCAGCTGAGGCGGGATGAGATGAGTTACGCGGAAATTGTGGCTATGGAGCGAATGGGAAGATCCGGATCGCCCGGCTTGGCTAGTGATGATGTGAGGTCAGGATGCAAAGGAGTCTTGGTACTCCGTACGGAGTAGTGGTCTGGTGCCCAAAGAGGGAATTTGTGAAAGAAAAAAGGCGGCCTCTTTTCTGGGGCGATCAGAAGCTCATTGGAAACAATGTGGAGTCGTAGGGATACGCGGGTGCCGAAGACGAGAGAAGATCCGTAAAAGAGTACGAAGGGTATTTGTACGATAGGGCAGAAGTCGGTCTAAGATGCCGACGGGGAGATGAGAAAGAGTGTCCGGGTCCGGACGATGCAAGGAGACAACAAACCCTGTGAGAGATTAGTACAAAAAGAGAGAGAAAGGCGAGAAAGAGACAGAGAGCACGGTGGCCGAGGGCGCGATGAGATCAAGCGCCGCAATGCTGAAGCGACGGGTTCCACGGCCTCGGGTGCGGCGTTTTATGAGATGGAACCTGGTCAACCGTCACTCTGTGTGGCATGTTGCATGCCGCACTCTCTAATCGCGCTGAAGCATATGCATTCGTTGAGTAAAAGTACGGATACGTCGCCTTGCTGTCGTGTGCTCGTGCATGTGCTGTGCTCGTGCCCGAACTGTCAGACTCAAGCCCTTCCTTGAGGTGGTTAGCCATCAGTTGCAAGCCTCCTGAGGCGTTTGATGCTTATTCCCCTGCCACGGTCTTCCCTAATGAGGACAATGTGTGACACTTTTCCATCCGTGCTGACCGCAGTTCCTCGGTATGCCATCGTATACAATACGGCAGTCCTGCCTCCTCTTGGACCGTGGTGGCGAATGGCAGCGACAGATTTGTGCGGGTGAGACGAGGCATGCGTCGACACAGCAGGGCCAAGAACGGTGCCTGAAATCGATCGGCGGCAACGGAAGAGGCGGAGGCTAACACGGTTGGTGTTCGTGCAATGTGTTGGCCTGCTGTGTGTGTGCCTGCGCCATCCCCATTGCTGACTCCCGAGTCCCATGCTCTGCTGCGGCTGTCTTCGCTGCGGCTCGCCGAGGTCGCTACCCGGCCATCATAACGCACGGCAGCGTAACCCCGATGGAAGTATGTCGGGAAGCATGGAACGATATCCTCCACATGCGGGCCTCAGAGTCTGACCGAGTCCTTTCTGGGTCGAGCGCGTACGGAATTTGTACGGATACAGCCCACAGCAGCCCCCAGGGATGCAACAGTGCTTGAGTTTGTGATGTTCCTTGAGCCTCGGGTTGCCCTATGGCCTGCATGAGCCTCCCGAGGGTCCAATGAAGGGTCGATCCCGAGCCAGCCACTACCGGAGTTTTGCTTAAGGGCCCATGCCGTCAGAAGGTGCCGCCGCACCGCATTAGCGAGTGGTGGTGCGGGCAGACAGACATGCCTGTGTCTAGGGTGTGCCTTGTCAGGAGGGACAAGCCGGAATAGAGTAGGTTGCAGATTGAGTGCGGGGAGAGAGATGCTCTCTATAGAACGAGATCTCTCGGGTACTTCAACACGGGATGAGGACAAGTATGTCGTCGTTCTTGATCAAGCACAACTGATAATTTTGCGCGAGCTGAGATGTTTCAGCAAGGCCTAGAAGAGTCCATAACAAAATTCTTCTTGAGCCCACCTCGACGTCAGGCGGTCGATGCGTCGCTTGCTTGAACTAGGAGTAAGCATGGTGAGAGTTGAACAATAAAGCGATGCTGGTCCCAATGTCTCGGCCAGCCAAACTGCATTTGTCAGGACGCCGTCAAAGCGAACCGAAGAAATTGTCATTCGCGAAATATTTCATCTCTCGTGATTTCTGTTGCGCTCTTTCAACTTCAACTGTCCAGGATCTGTTTGTGGTAATAGCAGACAGGCATCGTCATTGATGCGACGCTGGTCGCTTGGGAGATGCCGTTGGCGAACGCATGAATCGCATTCATTGTTGATCAACAATGCCAGCCAGGACAATTCACTGTTTGCGAGAGGTGACACCGGCGTGATGGCTGATCCAATAGATCTTTCGATGACGCGGTTTAGACCAGGATCGGACGTGTTCTCGTTGTCAGTGACGTTGTTTTGAAGAATGAGCTGAAGAAAAGTGGTGGACGGCTGGCAGACGTCTGGCTGCCAGGTGTTAGGGGTTTTCAGAGTAGGGCACCTGACACTTTTGTTCCGGGAAAGAGCTGCAGCGTTCCGAAAGTGGATCCCTTCGGCGTTGACATGGCAACGGCAATTACGCGAAGCTCCATATCAACAAAACCCTCCGCCCGCTCTTCCCTGACTTTGGAGCTTCCAGTTCAACCATCACAGCATCATGTAAATAAACGACAACATAACTCTCGACAACTGCATTGTACTAATCCACCAGCAAACACAACAATCACCCATTCTATCTCATCTTTGTTTTTTGCACCCGCTCTCAAATCCCACACGCATACACAAGATGGAGCCTCAATCACCCCCTAAGCGCATCACGCGCTCGAGAGCTGCAAAGACTGCCGATACCACGACGAACACTAGAGCTACCAAGATCGTGACCGCTGCGGCCAAGGCCAAAGCTAGCGTTTCTGCACCGACGCGATCGACCTCAGCGAAGAGAAAGACACGAGCCGATGATGCTGAGGAGGAAGAGCACAGCGAAGAGCCACAACAATCAGACGCCGCACCTCGTGCCACAAGAGCTACGAGAGGCCGCCCCAAGAAGACAGAGGAGCCTGCGGCACCGGCAACGGCACCATCCATGTCAAGTGGTGTTCCTGGCCGGGCAACTCGTGCACGAGCTGCTGCTCGACAGGTTTCCGGCACATTGCCCTCAGCTCCTAAAGATGAGCCAGTAAAGCCCACCCGTGGCCGGCCTAGAAAGGTGGTAGCTGAAGAAGCTCCCGCCAAGGAAGCGGAGCCAGTGAAGAAGACGACGACGCGTACTCGCGCAGCACCAGTCACAGCAGCAAAGCCCGCCGTCAAGAAGACGGTAACATTCCAAGAACCCGAAAAGGAAAACATCGCTCCTGACGCAAGCAAGAAGACGACCGAGAAGCCCGCAGCTACCACTGGTCTCAGGGGCAGACCAGTACGAAAGCCACCCGTTCCCAAGGCACCCCGATCTACCAAGTCCGCCGCCACCGCCGCTGCCTCCACCACCACCACGAAGACGGACAAGACTCCTCTGAGCCCTAAGAAGGTTACTCAGGTCCCCATGCCTCGCGACTTCTCCGATGACGAGTTGGCCGGCCCGGATACGCCTCCGCGACCAATGATGAAGAGCCCGACAAAACCGCCCACTGGTGCCCTCGGATCCTCCAGGAAGCTCAATCTGCTCCCCGCCGACAAGACTTCAGAACCAGAGCAGATCCATGATGACGAAAACTCCACCAAGCCTGCGGACCAAGAGGACGAAGCCACCAATGCTCTAGCTTCTCCTGCCAAGAGACTTCCCAACTCGCCATTCCGGGACTCGATGAAGTCCCCGGCGAAGCGTGCCGAGGGAGTTTCTCTGAAGCCTGCAGCATCCATGCAACCGAGCGGCGAGAACGGTGCCGTCCCCTCTTTCAAATCGTCTCTGCTTCAGTCGCCCGCCAAGCGTCCGCAGTCCGCCATCAAGCCCTTTACTCTGCCTTCGACCAATGAGGGTGAGAAGAAGATTTCCAACTTCAAGGCCTCTCTGCTTCAGTCACCAGCTAAGCGACCCTTGTCTCCTATCAAGGGTATGGCTACAAAGCCCATGGAGCGACTTGAGGAAATGCAATCTCCTGCTACAAAGCCTCTGTTGCTGTCCACGCCCACTGCTCTACGCCCTGTCAAGCGATCTTCCGAGAAGCTCATGGCCGAAGAGTCGCATGGCGATGCTGAGGATGATGACGAGCTGGATGAGGTCGCAGAGGCCATGCTCAACGAGTCCATTCACTTGGAAGAGCCGATGCAATTCCCCGGTCGCCTTTCAGCTGTCCTGCCCAGGCACGCCGACCCCGTGCTCAAGAAGAACATGCCGGTTCTCGAGGCTCCCACTGAGGAGACGAAAATTGTTGGGGAGATCAGTCATGCTCAGCAGTCAGAGGAGCTTGCAGAGGATGACGTCTTTGCTGACGAGGCTACTGAGGATGGTTTGGGTTCGGACGGAGAGCCTATGATGGTCGACGACGAAGCCTACTTCCAGCCTCAAGCCGCGGCTGCACCCCAGCTTACACTGAGTGCCCCTAGCGGCATATTCGGCCTGCGCCAGAAGGATATGGATCCGTACAGCAACATGGAGTCTGACTCTGACGATGAGCTCGCCAACAGCCCCAGAGTCTCTTCAGCTCACAACTTGGTTCTTGCCACCCCCGCCAACTCTCGACGAAGCATTGCCAAGTCTCGGGTCTCCAGTGTTGGCTTCACTCCCTTGGCAGACCAGCTCAACGCTTGGTCTGCTGCCAGCCCTTCCAAGACACCCAGACGACCCGTCACCCCTGGACGCCTTGGTGCTGCCACGCCTCGCGCAGGAGAATCTCCCCTCCGAAGCACGTACTTTGAAGACGAGATGACCGTCCGCGCCGATATGGACGCTCAGAATGAGATTGAGGCTGCAATTGAGGCTGAGATTTCCGCCACTGCTGAGGCCGAAGATCCCGAGTTTGACGACCTCATGGTCACTGAGGAAGACATGGCTCTTGCGGCCGAGGCCAATGAGATGTCTCTGATGGAACCTGAGGAGCTTGATGAGATTGTCAACACGTCCAACAGCTTTGATGATACTCTTTCCGAGGCGAGCCAAGAGTACGGCGATGAGAACGACATGCCCGTTGATCCCGCCATGTTTGGTGGCGATGCGTATGTCCCGCCAGTGACTCCTAACCGTGTTCTGGCGCGCGAGTTTTCCACCGTCTCCAAGGTTCCTCTTAAACCTGCTGACGAGTCGACCCCTCGCCCCAAGAAGAAGCGTGCTGCCAGCATTTCCCGACTCCCCGTCAGCCGCCCAAGCCTGAACAGGAGTGCTACCGTCATCTCCTACTCGCCCGGCAAGAACCAAAAAGATGAGGAAGAGCAGAACGACAACGAGTTCGACTCTGCTCCCGTCACTCCGGCCAAGTCTGATATCTGGTCGAGCCTCGGAACGCCGGCGCGCACTCCCCGCCGAGACCTTAACTCAGGTCTCCTCCGTGGAGCTGTCGTTTTTGTGGATGTGCACACCACCGAGGGTGCGGATGCCAGTGGCATTTTTGTCGAGCTTCTTGGTCAGATGGGAGCCCGCTGCGTCAAGACCTGGAACTGGAACCCGAGCGCTACTGGCAACTCGGATGCCTCCAAGATTGGCATCACTCACGTCGTCTTCAAGGATGGCGGCAAGCGCACAATGGAGAAGGTTAGAGAGTCAAATGGTGTTGTGCAGTGTGTCGGTGTGAGCTGGGTTCTTGAGTAAGTTTCTTCTAATCCTAATGAAAGATGATATTTGGCTAATCGGTCTTCACAGTTGCGAGCGTGAGAATGAGTGGCTCGAAGAGGCACCCTACTACATCGACACCTCCATGGTACCCCGTGGAGGCGCGCGCCGTCGCAAAAGCATGGAGCCTACAGCGCTCGCTAACCAGAACGGCATGCTTGTTCCTACGCCCGTCAAGGCGGGCCGTGATGCCAAGACTGCGCCCAACACGCCCATGAACCGACGTGATAGCACGGTGTGGATGCACACCCCTTCAGACGAGGCCGAGGACGACGATGATGACTGGCAGGGCCTAATCTCTCCTGTTCCCGTCACCCCTGCGCCTGAGGCTCTTGCTCGCTATGCTGCAGAGACGCCTTCTGGGATGACCGAGTACGACTCTTCTCCCACCAAGACTCTGCACATGCAAACCTGCCCTCCTAAGCAGAACGCCTTTGTCCAGATGGGCGAGGGTATTCTCAACAGAGACAAGGACGAGAGCGTCATGCAGCGCCTGATGGCTGCTCGCAGGAAGAGCTTGCAGTTTGCTCCCAAGATTGGCAGCCCCTTGGCCAAGACCTGGCGCTAGATGTTGATTATTTTGCAATTGTTTTTGTCGTTTTGTCGACTCAGGCCTAGGCCGAGATGCGACGGGGTTGGTTTTAGACGGCGTTTACACGGATATGGGATATGGGTTCCGAAAGGGCCTGGAATACGGTGTTTAGGTTATTAGATTGGTTGTACATCAGAACATACGCTGGCTGCGAGGGCAGCGTCAGTTGTCTTTGGAACACAATTTGAACGGAACTTTTTGTCTCTCGCTGTGTTTTCCTCACCTATGCTTTTGATGTTTATCTTGGTTGCAACTTTGAAAGTTGATGTTTGTGAATACTCCAAAGTCCCTGGACCCTTGTCCGTATCTGACAAGGTGACGCATGTTGGCCGCGCGTTCTTTTGATTGGACCAACCAAAGTCCCGAGTCTCCAGAGAGCGCGCTTAACTTGACTCGGTGTTCCGGGATGGCAGGAGAAGGCATTGATTGATAAGGAAGATCCATCCGACACACATGAGACTCCGAGCTTTGATACCGATTGTTTGCCTGAATGTGGCGAAGATGATAAGCTAGACTTCCTCTTCCTTTCCTCTTCCTTTCCTCTTTTTATCTTCATTTGCATTTCATAGAATCACCGAAGAAAAAGCATGCGTTCACTGCGAGCCTTGACGACGTCGCTGCTGGCGGTGCAGTTCACTGCCGTCGCGGCGGATGAGGTACAGAAACCCGTGGGTGTATCATCATCGTCGTCGTCGTCATCGACATCATATTCATCATCTCAAGATGAGTCCAACCCTTCATCGCCGTTTACAGCAACACCAAAGAGTGATGGTACAGATCCATCACCATGGTACGCTCGACTGAATTACTCGTCGCCCGCGCCTCACCTGTTTGCTTCGGCGTATGGATTGCTCCAGCAGTGGAGTAACACAGTGTTCCCTAACGGACACACGATGGCGGCGGTGGAGGTACCCGCGTTTACGCTGCTTTATCACGGGAGGATGGATGAGGAGGATGTGCCGAGTCCGGAGTGGCTTGCTTTTGATATGTGAGTTTTTTTGGTTGCACGATCCCCTTCCGCTGTTTTTGTGTGTGCCCGTGTTATTCATGGTTTCGATACGTGTTTGGTTGTGATGTAGATGTTTCATGGTGTGTGTGTGTGTGTATGTGTGTTTGTGATACCGAGTCTCGTAGATGAAAAGTTTACTGGCTTGGGCAGGCTAACACGAATACAATTTCAGAGAAATGGCCTACGGTATAATGGGCAGCACCCGCCAAAGCTACATGCTAACATACCAAACCACGCGGCCCGTGAAAGCGCTCTACTTTGACGGCGAGTCCGCTGCGCTGATGGGGTTCGGGCAGCTGGACACGCAGATGCTGCATTTATACGGCAACGTATCCGGTCCGAAGAGTGATGGAGGTCCGTGGCGCGGGTTGGAGCCCGAGTATCAGAGGGCCATGGGGCTCTGCGACTGGTTGTTGGAGAAGGGGCTGCGCGGACCGGGGTGGGGGTTTGAGGGGGTGGTGAGGATGAATACGGGGTTCGAGATGATTTGGTGTGATTTTGGGGGTGGGGGGAGTTTGAGGTTGGTTGGGAGGGGGAATGTTACTGCGCCGCAGTTGAGGGAGGGGGATGATGATGATGGAGAGAAGACGGTGGAGGGGGATGAGGTTGAGGGAGACGTGAAGAAGGCAGATGGGAGGATGCATGGCGAAGAAGGGGTGCCGACGTCGGTGTACCCGCTCCCACCGCAGCCGACGCTGACAGACCGGCCCGTAAGCCCTTCCCGTCCGCCGATGCCGCCCAACTGGCGCGAGATCATGGGTCCCGCCGAGCGAGAGCCGTTTTTGCAGACGCAGGGGTGGGGATGGTTTGCTTCCGCGACGTGGCACTACGGGTCCAATGGTCTCGGGCAGGGCAAAGGGGAGACGAGGGCGCGGGTGCTCGGGTGCGGGATCACGAGCTGGTACGCGGATCGATTCTGGGGATCCGGTGCGGAGGAGGAGCGGACGAGGTTGAATCTTACTGCGGAGGGGTATTGGACTGGTGATGGAGGAGAGGGTGGTGTTGGGAACCGGAGTGAGGCGTTGGCGAAGCTTGGGAGGCGGAGAAGGATGCATCATTTGGAGAATGTGACGGCTGAGACGGCGGCGGGGATGAGGTGGGAGACGGAGGTGATGTTGAGGGATGCGCTTGTGGGCGAGGGGGGGTGTAGTGGGATGGAGTGGGTGAGTTCCATGGGGGAGATTGTGCAGCGGACGGCTGGGCATTTGATGGTTATGGAGGAGGGGGCGAGGTTCGGCGGCGATGGTGATGGTGGTGACCGGGACTGGGGGAATGTGACGGCGGTGAGGGAGTGGTTGTACAAGTTGCGTGGGCAGAGTCACATGTTTTTGGTTTCTTTCCTGGAGTATCCGCGCGAGATTGATAGACAGACGTGGGATGTCCGGGGCGCGCTGTTTGCGGAGACGTATTCGCGGTGTCGGTATCGGTACACGAGGTTGATGGTTGATTTACCGCTCAGCGTGAGGGAGCGGGATCTGAGGGACGCGGTGGAGGAGGTCATGGGTGGCATCTGCGAGGTGTTGCTGGAGGTAGGGTTCGGTATCGAGAGGGCGTGGTATGATCTCGAGAGAGGGGAGACGTCGGAGCTGGAGGCTGCGAGCGAGAGGTGGGCGGACGGTGTGAGGCGGCTTCGGGCGTGGGTTGGTTGGGAAGGGGAGTTCATCCGGTGCCGGGAGGTGTGCGGGTGGGATGAGCGATGCTATATCCCCATGTGGCCGTTGTTGAGGTCCGTGTGGGGTGGCAGGAGACCGAGGCCGCCTCCGGAAGGTGGACTGGGGAACGGGACGGAGCCTGGGTATGGTCCGCCGCCGCCGCCGCCGCCGTATCGGGGTCGGGGACCTGGGTATGGTGGGAACCATACCGGGCCGCCTGGGCGTGGGATGCCGGGGCGGAGTCCGATATGGATGGGCGATGAGACGGATCTGTGGGAGCCAAAGTGCGTTAAGATGGAGGATATCATGCCCAGGGCGAGGGGAAACTAGATTTCACTTGCGTCGTCAGTGAGTCAATATGAATGGTGCTCATGTTTCAGCTTCATAGATCAATGTCAGTGATGGCAAGAAGTCGGCGTTCGTCGAGCTGTCACGCTTGTCAAGGGCCGAGTCTGGTTCAGATCGAATCACGATGAGTATGCCGTCTAGGTAGAAACAAGTGAGGTCCAATGCAGTCCACCTGGGAAGAAGGGCGTTCAATTCTATTTCAAGCTCGAGACATTGGTCATCTGATCTGTGTACCGCAAAAGTTAGCCTTGCCGTGATAAGAAACTGTGCCGAAGTAGACGGAGACGAACCATTGAATAACATGTGTAATCCTGGGCCTGAACAAACGTAACCTAAAACTTTTACTCCGAAGTCTATAACCATGCCAGCCGTCAACCACCTCGAACCGTTCATGAGCGCAGGTACGCCTTCATCGCCTTGACCGCATCGCCGTCGTTGGCCTTGAGCAGCTCCGTCGCCTTGGGCTTGGTGAGCTCCAGTTCGTCAACCTATGTTCCGTCAGCATGTATCCGTCTCATACATTCCCGTCATTCAACAAATCTGCCTTGTCTCCAATGACCCGGACCCCCATCTCCCGGCCGTCCCCCAGTGTATCAGGTAGGGAGGTTGACTAACCAGCAGCGCAACGTCGGCGGCATCGACCTTGACATTCTTCACCTCTTTCTTGGCAGCGGTGGCGCCACCCAGACCCTTGATCGCCTTCTGCGCGGCATCGACATCGACCTGCCCGCTTCCTGAATCGTCGCCGCCGGCATCGAGACTGGCGAGGGCGGACGCCGCCTTGCGGTCCTCGGCTGACTTTGCGGGCTGGACCTCCTCCTCGACATCACCGGCGGTGGCGCCCTCGACGACGGTGGGGGGCTGCTTCTCAGACATTGTGTTCGGAGTGTGTAGGTAATTATTTAATCGGTCGATTCGAGGGGCTTTGGATCGGAGTTTGAGAGGTGGGACTATTCGCGTTGAAGAGCTGTGACGTTGTGTGAACAGTCGGGCACGGCACGGCGGCGCAGGAGGCAGCTCTATCGGAATCGAATTTGTGGTGGGGCAGGTTTAAGGTGGGGGCGGGGAGGGGGAGAGCTACCCTCCGGTACGTACCTCGCCGAAGGTACCTTAGGTCAGGTATCCGCAGGTGAGGGGAGGTGTGCCGCCACGGCCGCTTACACCGATGGTGAGCGTTCGAGGTAGGTCGGTACGCCTCGGCATAGCGTTGCCCTGGAGGAGGACAATGTACAACTTTATTTCTCAGGTTTAGCACCAAAGACGCACACCACAAACTCGACACACAAACACGCAGGGTTTGACGGATGGTATGGTTCCTGAGTTTGCTCTCTTCGGTTCCGTCCCTCTCGTTGTCATTGGCCAATTTCGAGCGAAGCAAGCACACCGTTGCAGGTTACCAGGCCCTTGCCCGTTATTAAGGATTTTTCTGCTCGCATTCATCCCACTCACCGGTCCATTTCACTACCTTGCCTAGTAAGGTAGGCACAGCGGAGTATCCAGATTCGATCACTTCGTGTTCCAAGCGCTTTTGAACCACTTTGCTGTTGACTCACCAAGGTACATATACTAGGTCTCTTTCCCTCTGTTATGACTTTCAGGTTGAATCATTTTCAAAGCCATTGCTGATTTCACTTCAAGTCAACTTACTTGTTATTACTCCAGCTTCCATCTACGTCGGTTCTGGGCAACGAATCAACTCGGCACCACTTGACTGTCCACCATTTTGTCTTGAGTCACCAACACCGGTGACCAACACAGCACATCACACTATGTCCTCCTCCGCAGATTGGTCGCCCGACTCCTGGCGCTCAAAACCCATCAAGCAAGCTCCCGCCTACCCAGATGAAGCGGGCTTGAAAAAGTCCGTCAAAGAACTGGGACGTCTACCCCCCATTGTTCACCCAAAGGAGATTGTCGCACTCAAGCAGCACCTGCGTGATGTGGCCCTCGGCGAGGCTTTCCTGCTCCAGGGCGGCGACTGCGCGGAGCTATTTGACTACTGCGAGCCCAATGCAATCGAGTCAAAGATTAAGCTGCTGCTGCAGATGAGTCTGGTTCTCGTCTGGGGTGCTGACAAGAAGGTGGTGCGCATTGGGCGTATGGCTGGTCAGTATGCCAAGCCGAGATCGAGCCCTACGGAAATAGTTGATGGTGTGGAGATGCCTTCATTCCGGGGAGACATCCTCAACGGCTTCCAAGTCGATGAGCGCGAAATTGACCCGCAGAGACTCGTAAAGTGAGTCAGGCAGAAAATCGTGTGTCACCACAAGAGCTAACCAGCACCAAAGAGCCTACCAGTATTCCTCAGCAACCCTCAACTACATCAGAGCTTGCCTCTCATCAGGCATCGCCGATCTCCACAGGCCGCTGGACTGGGGCCTGGGCCATGTCCGGGATCCGGAGCTGAAGAGAAAGTACTCCGAGGCCGTCCTCTCCCTCACAGACATGCTCCGCTTCCTGCACACCATCGGCGCCGACCGGAGCGACAAGCTGGACACGGTCGACCTCTTCACCAGCCACGAGGGCCTCCTCCTCGAGTACGAACAGCCGCTGACCCGCCTCCTGGAGACGCCCGTCCCGCGTCCCACAGCAAACGGCAACGGCTCCCGGAACGGCAGCGGCCCCACCGAGACCAAGAAGGAGTACTACGACACCTCGGCCCATTTCCTCTGGATCGGCGACCGCACCCGACAGATCGACGGCGCCCACGTCGAGTTCTTCCGCGGCATCGCCAACCCCATCGGCATCAAGGTCGGACCCACCACGCCCGTAGACGACCTCCTCGCCCTGCTGCGCGCGCTAAACCCGGACAAGGAGCCCGGTAAGATCACCCTCATCACGCGGTACGGCGCCTCGAAAGTGCGCTCGCTGCTGCCGGCGCACATCCGCGCCGTCGAGGACAGCGAGTACAATCGCTGCGTTGTCTGGCAGTGCGACCCCATGCACGGCAACACGGTCTCGACGGGCGGCGGCATCAAGACGCGGCGGTTCCGCGACATCTTTGAGGAGCTGCAGGAGACGCTGCGCATTCACAAGGAGCAAAAGAGTTATTTGGGCGGCGTCCACCTCGAGCTCACTGGTGATGCTGTGACGGAGTGCCTGGGTGGTAGCGAGGGATTGGACGAGGATGATTTGTCGACCAACTACACGAGTTTCTGCGACCCGAGACTCAATGAGAAGCAGGCGCTCGAGTTGGCGTTCTTGATTGCGGATCACTACAGGAACGAGAGAAGACCGGTTTTGTGAAGCGGTCTTGGGTTAGCAGAAAGTACATTAAGCAGCGGCATTTGGGCATTTGGGAACAAAATTGATGATAAAAAGCTTTTCCTTTCGTACCTGAGATGAGTTCATTTTACAGCCAACCTCAGTCATGCCACTAATGCCAGGCACGCATGATTCAATGACAGTGACAGTCATGGCGTAAAACCTGGGGTAAGCCACGAGCACCATCACACTTTTAAGTACCTGCAGAACTCCCTTAGGACACATTGACCTCTCACACCGTCAGGAGCAAGCACGCCAGAGGGATGAATCGATTCGATAATGAAACATGCAACCGCAGCTGGACCGCATCTCGGCTCACCTTGGACCCAACATGCGGGGAGGCCCTGGTGTTGTTGGTTCGTGTCCACTGGCTCACCGACGCATTCACTTACCCAGCAGGGAAGTTTCAGGCGGATATCAGCGGGCCAAAGATAAGGTGGCAGGTGAGGTACCCTTACTTGACCTTACCCAAGGTAGCTGCTTAGCAGGCTCTGGGACTCTGTACAGCGCGCCTTACGCCCTTTTACCCCAGCGGCCGATAAGGGGAGCGGGGCTTCCCCGCGACTCCGCCGGCTACCCGTGACCGAGCGTGTAAGTACCTTGACCCCGACGCCGTCTCTCCTCTCCTCTCCCTTGATAAATCCCAAGCTCTCATCCTGCATCCATCATCTTACAACAAACCTTCACGCTCTTCTCACCTTTACATCGTGAATTTTCACAGATTCAAGACTAGCTTCACCTTGTTCTCATAGTCGTAGCAACACCTGGTCAACACATACTTAGAACTCACCACCCACACATACAAGATGGTCTATCCATTCGACTATCTCCAACATCGTCGTGACTGGTCTGCCATCCCACCCGTGCCTATAACCCGCAAAACCCCCGAGGTTCACTGACACATAGGAAACAGCAACTTCAAGCAATCTGAACGCGCAGACAGAATCCGTCGTCTCACGGCCTACAAAGGCCCCTTTTCTCCACAAGACCGCCAGATCCTGGATAAACCCATCGAGGAACTCGTCCAAGATGTCCACAAGACCGTCCTGAAACCCATTGACATTCTCAAAACCTACGGCAAAGTCGCTCTCAAGGCCCACGAACGCACAAACTGCCTCACCGAGGTCATGCTCGAGTCCGCCGAGAAGTGGGTGGCCGACGGCTCCGTCAACCTCAAGGGCCCTCTAGCCGGCATCCCCGTCAGCCTCAAAGACACAATCGTCGTCGGCGGCTACGACACCACCGTCGGCTTCAGCAGCTTCGTAGGCAACAAGACCGCCACCGACGGCCCCGTCGTCCGCCTCCTCAAAGACGCCGGTGCCGTCCCCTACGTGAAAACCAACCTGCCCATCACCCTCCTCAGCTTCGAGTCCACAAACGACGTCTGGGGCCGCTGCACGAACCCGCATAACACCCGCTATTCCCCTGGAGGCTCCACGGGCGGTGAGTCCGCGCTCCTAGCCATGGGAGGACGCATCGGCATCGGCAGTGACGTCGCCGGCAGCGTGAGAGCGCCGGCGCATTTCTCAGGCTGTTATAGTCTCCGCTGCTCCACGGGCCGGTGGCCGAAACTGGGCTTCTGCACGAGCATGCCGGGCCAGGAGGGCGTGCCGTCCGTGTATAGCCCCATGACGAGGACGCTGGACGACCTGCGGTACTTCACGCGCGCCGTGGTGGGGATGAAGCCGTGGGAGTACGATTACAGTGTCCACCCGCTGGCGTGGCGAGCCGAGACCGAAAAGGCGTGGCTGGACGACGGGAAGAAGCTCCGCGTCGGCGTGATGCGCACCGACGGCGTCGTGGACCCCAGCCCGGCGTGCCGGCGCGCGCTGGAGATGGTCGAGAACGCGCTGCGCAAGCAGGGCCACGAGATTATCGAGGTTAATCCCCCTTCTCCCTACGAAGGTCTCAAGATTGCCGCCCTGGCGCTCAACGCCGACGGGTGTCAGATGTTTAGCACGTTTTTCCGCACGGGGGAGTGGAATGACCCTGGCGCGGCGCAGATGAAGTTTTTGATGAACCTCGCCAGCCCGCTGCGATACTTGTACTATCTCTGGGTCAAGTACGTCCGTCGCGACGACATCTGGGCGGGTCTCGTACGGGATTGGCGGCCGCAGTCGGCGTTTGAGAACTGGAAGCTCGTCGCGAGGCGGGAGGCGTACCGGAATAAGTGGTTTGACTGGTGGAACGCGGCCGAGGTGGACTTTTTGATCACGCCGCCTAATGCGACGCCTGCTGTGCCGCATGATGGGATGAAGGATGCGTGTAGTAGCTGCGGGTACACGTTCCTCTTCAACTTGGTGAGTTTGTTTTCCAATTGTTCACGATTCATGCGTTTGAGGAATAGTGAGTGGCTAATCAACTATCTAGCTCGACTACACCGCCGGCGTCCTCCCCGTGACACACGTGGACAAGGACCTGGACCAGCTGCCCGCGGACTTCAACATCAAGAAGCTCAATGGCGTGGCATACGGTGCGTATAAGCTGTACGATGCCAAGGATATGCACGGCCTGCCCGTCGGCGTCCAGGTCGTGGGCAGGAGGTTGGAGGAGGAGAAGGTGTTGTCACTCATGCAGAGGGTAGAGGATGCTTTGGGCGACGAAAAGTACAAGCTGTTGGACATTGACTAAGCTTTTTGGGAATGGAGTCCATTCGAAAAGGCAGACAATCTAGATTGTCGTAGCTAATGATTTCGCGTCAACTGAAGACAAAAAGATCAAGTCATTCTTCTCCGCCGATTTCGCGACCGACGTTATATAATGTAAATCAGATCATTGGATAGAATTCAGTCATAGGGCCTCCCAAATTGGATTCCGGATATAACAAGCCATGTCTACGGAGTGTGAGCTTCAGTATTGCATATCGGATCCCCGTGCCGTGAAAGTCAGATAGTCGGGGGGAGGGGGGATGCGGGGCAGCGTGCGGCCGTCGAACAGGTCCGATCTCGGACGGTCGTCGCATCCTCCCATCTTCACTCATTCCACTTAAACTTCAGATTGCGTGTAAGTCGGAGACGAGAGAAAGTTATATAAACTCGCAACGTACTCGTAAAGGTCCTTTCCATCTATTCATACCCCATCATACCCTCCCGTCCAGAATCATCTTTCGAATCCTAAATCAAACATGGCCGAACAAAAAGAGGATAAGTGGTCATCCGAGGTAAGCCTTATTAGCTCGAGTATCAATCAACCATCATCGCCAGCCTTAGACTCACAAAATACCCAGGCCTACCAGCACTCCGCCTCCTTCGTCCCCAAGTTGGCGACCAAGGTGGTCCAGTGGCTCGATGTGCAAAAGGACGATGTCATTCTCGACGTCGGCTGCGGTGGTGAGTCCCAGACCTCGATCCTTCACACCCGTCCTCTCGACGATGGACTTGACCGTAGTACAGTACACCAGGCTAACGTTCAAGCAGACGGCATCCTCGACGTCGAATTCGGAAAAGTCCTCTCCCAAGGAAAAGGCTCCCTCCACGGCATCGACGCCTCCCCAGGCATGATCTCCGCCGCCAAGAAGGCCGTCTCAGCAGCAGGCCTCTCAAACTGCGAGTTCGAAGGTACAGCTCTCCTCTCTTCTCTCCTCTCTACCATATCCAAACGAATTGGCAACTCTTCCCTGTGCGAAACTAACACTGCCCCCCCCCATCCCAGTCCTCGACGCAACAAAAATCACAACCTCCTCAACACCCACCCTACACACCCCAACCTTCACAAAAGCCTTCTCCAACGCAGCCCTCCACTGGATCCTCCGCCCCCCAGGCTCCCACATCCCCGTCTTCACCGCCATCCGCGACGCCCTCCTCCCGGGCGCCACCTTTGCCCTCGAAATGGGCGGTCTAGGCAACGTAGCCGAGATGCGTACCGCCATCGTCATGGCCGTCGCGCGGCGCGTGGGGATAGAGAAGGCCGTCGCCGTAGACCCTTGGTTCTTCCCCGATGAAGAGTGGTTGAAGACGGTGCTCGAGAAGGAGGTCGGCGGGTGGGAGGTGTTGAAAGTCGAGAGGGAGTGGAGGCCTACGACGGCGGATAAGGGCGGCGTGGAGGGGTGGGTTAGGTTGATGGGGAAGGAACTGTTGGATGCTGTGCCGGAGGAGGGCGGGCAGAGGGAGGAGGTTGTTAGGGAGATCGTGGAGGTGTTGAGGCATGTTTGTAGGATTCCGGGGGATGGGGAGATGATTAGCTACGTGAGGTTGCGGTGTCTTGCGAGGAAGCTTTAGGTTGAGGTGGCTAGGCGAAAGGGTATGTGTCTGGTGATGGGGACGAGAATTAGAGAAGTGTGTAGACGCTGGCTCAGTACTTCTGTTGCCAGTAGTCCCCGACCTACAAAGCGTGTTCACTCTTGAAGGACCAGAACGACAGGAACCCACACCACTTGCAATGGTTACAAGTGGCGAGGTTTTCGGTGGGAGGGATCATCAAAGACAAGAGACCAGGTATAATGAGACCGACCTCGAACGTCTCTTTCAGTTACTAAAGCTGCCCAAGAACGCTCACCGTCTCGTTCGCTCCACCTCCCTTCGGCTCGAACGTATTCGTCACGAACAATCACGACCTTACAAGAGCTGCTTAGTCACGGACGTTTAATTGTAATAAGTGCTTTAAGTTATAGCACCAAGGCTGCCTTGACCTGCTAGTGTTAAAGTAGAGCTTTCTGAGAGAAACCTGTGGTTTACTTATTATAAGCTCGCCTCTACGTGGGCACCAGCCCACTGCCTACTAATTTCGGCTTGAACATGTATAAAGTAAACACGCTTTTAAGAAGCGAATTCTGCAGAAGCGGCTCCTTAATTTCACTTTTTGCAATGACTGGAAAGAGAAGACGGCATTGCATCATGTATCGCAGCTCATCTAGAAGTTGGTCCACACATCCTTTGAAAGCGAAAGCTATGACGTGCTGCCACTAATAAAGAGATAGAGACAAAGCATAACTCGTCACAGTTCATCATAAGGACGGGAATATCAGGAAGCAATGCTACGTCAGCTACGCTCTAAGTCTACTTCCGTGGCTCTCCAACCTTCATGTATCGTGATCAAGTTTGCACAGTCTCACGGAGATGCGCATCTAGTTACTATAAGTAGGCTCGCATTCAACTCGATCCCATGTTCCATGCGCCACACCACTGGCGGACTTGTTGTGATGCTCCTGTTCTTCGAGACAGTCTTTAGTGGCTTATTTTCTCTGACTCGTGATAACCATGGCCAGCCCTTGTACCTCATCTTTCAACTACATAGTACTCAAAGGCACTCTCAATCACTCTATCACCCATCTCAGTCTCCATCCCGCACATCGACGCCACATATTCGTGCGAGAGCGAGACGAACAGTGTGAGAGAGATAAAGGCTTCAGTATAACTCAGGCTTACTCGGGCTTTCCATTCTGAGCGGTTAATCTGACTGCCGCCATCAAGTCTTCCTCACTCCGCTGACTTGGACACAAGTGCCAGCTCAAGGCCACCGCCGTGTGGCTCTCGATAACATCTGCATCTATCCGTACCGACTACCATTATTCTCAATCCCCGTGAGGCATCCTTATCCGGCCTTGTGCATCGAGGCAGTTGGGGATAATGAAAGATCCATCCTTGTGAAAACCTTCTAGAGGGTTCATATTTCCCGCTCAGCAAATGGAGCACGGTCTCGAGAAGCCGAACCCGTCTTCCCAGCCATATCGACTCGCTTTCCAGCAACTCGAAAAAGTCATAATCTGATCAATAGACACATTTCATCCCCCCACAAAGCCGTAACCTCAATAGAAGGTCTTCATGTCATAACCGGGCAAGATTTGCCCCTCTCACCGACGTAGACTAGACCACCCGAAAGAGAAGAGGCTATAAATACCAATCCGGCCAACCACGTAAGCGTTTCGAAGATACTCACAATGTTGGGACGAACTTTTCTCTCCCATAACCGCACTGGGCTTTCGACCAGCTCGCACGGTCACAGCCTCATACCGAAGGGATGATGAAAACCACCCGGTCTCTCAACAGTGACCCGGGTCCTTTCGACTCACCTTGGATTAGAAAACATATCATACATGGAGTAAACTGCTCAGTAGGCCGACGAAACCTGATCAAGGAGCCCTGGGAAGATCATAGGTGAGAAGAACGGGCAAAAGACGCGTTTAATGCTAGCGGAACCCGTCCGAACTCCACCCCAACCCGGACACCATCCGTATACCTTAGCGCCACTTTCACCCGGTCCGTCCGTCCGTCCGCCCGCCTTGCCCCACCATCCCGAACTCGCAACGGCATCATTCTAATCCTACCCATCTCATCTTCCACTACCTATCCGTACCTAATTACTTACCTGGCTCAACTCAACAAAGTCTCACTCTCTCCATCTTCGGCGCCCACATAATCCTTCACTTGATCAAGCTCATCCCAGTAGTGACCGCATCATCCCCATACCCCCCGCCCAGCGCTCACGATTAAGTGCCAGCTGAGAAAGAGAAAGAGAGAACATCAATGTCAACCATAAGTTGCCGTCACACCCTATCAACCCGTCATAGCCGCCGTCTCCAGATTTCCCAAACCTTCTCACAAACCCCTTTTCTTACTTTTTCCAGGGATTTCACCACAAGGGAGTTGACATCAAAGAAAAGACAAAATCAGTTATTCCCGTCCGTCCCCAGGATCCAAAATCCCGACTACATCATTTCAAACCAATAATCTAAATCACATCGTACCACAAGACACACCACACGTACCTTGAACACGGCATACACCACCAGCGGGGCCGACTTTTCATCCAGCCACGCAACCACCAGCAACAAGTCAAAGGGAGAAAACCTCAAAACATCAACGGTTTGAAATGCAACCACAACCGTCCACCCAAGCCCTGCACGTACCACACCTACCACATCACAGGGAAAAGTAAGCCCGTCCCCCTCCCCATCTCCACTCGATCGTCAGAAGAGGCAACCCAAGTCTCCCGCTTCTCTTTTCCCTCAATCACATAGACCACATGTAGGCTCATGCAGCCCAACACACGATTCAACGAGTGGTCCCAGCCCCAATCAAGACTACTCGAGTCCAGACTTTTTCAACAACAGCAAGACGGGCGAACGGCGAAGCCGGACCCTGAAAAAGCTGCGAGTCGTGGACCGGAGGCACTCCGGTGGGAAGCTTCGGAGGAAGGAATACTCCGTTCTAGCTCTTCCCTGCTGCTTGATGCTCTCTGTAACCTCGTTCCCTACGAGCATGCCCCTGCTTAGAGCGTGTCGCCGTCAGTAGTCGCACCCATTCCGGTTCAGTTCTGATGTCGTTCACGTCATCTCATGACAGCGGTTCGCACCAGTGGCTGTGCAAGATCGAATGAAATCATTATCACTTATCCTATCTACCCAAGGCCCATGAACACCTGTTTCTTTCTAGATCATGATGAATATTTGAAAACCTGGAAATATAACAAGTTGCCATAGCTGAAAAAATGTGATATATGGACTTTGTATATATATGAGAGAACATTGACCGCCTGCCACCTCCGCCCATCGTCAAGAAATAATAGGTGAGGGCGCGGATGGCGGCAAAAGTGGTAAGAGATGATGCACATCGCTGAGGGGGTTTCTTAATGCATTCCAGCCAACGCCTTCCCGCTTGCCGTTATTCAGCCGGTTCTCCTCTCGGAGCGCTGCTTCCCGCGGTCCCACTGCTGAGAGGCTCCTCGTAGCTATAGATGTCGTCTCCTGGTATGAGATTCTCCTCCACGTACAGAACTCGAGGCTTTCGCCAAGGCTCCTCGTTTTTTGACTTTTACTTTTCATTAACTCAGCCATCTTCACGCTTAGAAGTGCTCCTTCCAGAATCGGAAGTTGACTTCGCGAACATCGGCATCCTTGCAAGCCTGCTTGATGTCGCGAGCTACATAAGTCGTTAGTCAGGATATTGGAAGAGATGGGAGCAAGATGCTTACCAGCTACTGAGGGACCGCAGAAGTAAACACCGACAGTTGTGCGCATGCTACCTTCCAAGCCGTTGAGGTATGTTCTGTCCAAAATGCCATCGCGCATGGTTGTGAAAAGCTTGGAGAAGTTGGGTCTACCAAAGTTCGTGCGGGACTTGAGCTCAGTGAGGGGGTCGTGGTCTGATCCAACGGAGTTGAGCACAATGTTCTGCGTGGTATCCATGTCTAGCTTCTGAGTGAGATAGGTGTGAATCTTCAAGAACTCGACGCCGGAGCTACCAGGAACGCGAGCTGCCTCGTTAGACTGCTCTTCGAGCGATGACAGGAGAGTCTGGAACCATTCGAAGGAGCCGGTGTCCTTGCAGACCCAGATGAATTCGACACGGCGAAGACGAGTTGGCGGGTTCGGGCTGTTGCGCAAGTGCCAAATGTTCTTGAGGATTGAAGCCCAGGGAGTGACGCCAATACCAGTACCAATGAGCACGGCAATTTCGTTCTCAAAAACGTCTTCGGCGGGAGCACCGTAGGGGCCATCGATGCGAAGGTCAGGCATCTGCTGGCCGTTCTGAAGAGCAACCTCGTACATTCCCATGGGGTCAACGCCATCGTAAAGCTTAGCCTGAGCCGAGCCAGCACCAACGGCGTCACCAAGAGCCCGAGTGAAGTCACCGACCTGGCGAACGTGAACCGAGATATAAGGATCGAACGGGCAAGAGGTAATAGTGAAGGGGTGCCACTGGTAGTTGGAGAGAGAAGGCACTTGGAGGAAGAGCCACTGGCCAGCCTTGTACTTGAACGAGGGCTTGTTGAACTGCAACTCAACGACATCTGGAAACCAGTCAGCATCATGACCAAAACAGATAGCACAACAGAAACTTACCGTATGGGTGGCGGACAACACGAGTGATCTTGGTACGGCGGCGAGCGCGGACCTCACGATAGGTACGCTCCATGAGGTAGAAAGCTCCGGTCCAAAGCTCCCATCTCCAGCCGAGGTAGCCGATGCAGTGATCCCAGTAATCCTTTCCGGCAAATGGAGAGTACGGCAAGGCGGTGTCACGCACGAAGCAGCCAGTGGTGTGGGTGTACAGTCCCAGGAAAAAGGGAATGAAGAGGTGGTGAGTGTACCAGAACGTCTCGAATGATTGCTGGCGAATGCGGGCGTGTGCAGTGGTGTACATCAGGAGCATGCATAGCAGCATGACATGGCCGGTGACACCACCTGCCTGGGCGTAGTGAATCTGGATAGCCGTGACGGGACGAATTTGTGTTCTCTCAACGTTGAAGAAGCTGTACATGTTAGCGAGTGGTCTTCTTGCAACATATGCTGGCACCTACTTGATGTAATGAGCAGAGGTGTGCAAGATGGTAAATCCAAGCATGGAGTACGCCAGCTGTCTGTGCAACCAAAGGTTCTCGTCGAGAGGGAGAAAGCGAAGCTTAGGTCGGATCCATCGCATGACCGTTCGGCAGACCGGGAGCAGGATAAGCATTCCATCGACACTAAGAACCAAACCAGCACCTCTTGAAATCCAGACCGAGTACTGCAAAGTGTTCAGACCAGCCAGCCTCGCGTCCATTGCCTGCTTCCACCTGGCGAAGAGTTAGAATCGACGTGTACACGGATGCGATGTGTGAATGGAGGCTTACCATCCATAGGCGAAGATGCCAAAGTGAAAGGTCCAGAAGAGGAAGTGAAAGGCCAACTTCTGAGCAGTAAACTGCTTCTTGACCAGAACCCCGAAGGTCAGGTCGCCCGCCATCTTGATTCGATTTCGATTGCCCTCCTATTCGTAGCTGTATTAGGGTGTCGACCTGCGACAATACCGACGATTTGGCGGTTGGGGTCGGGCCTTGGAGGGTATCGGTAGCGGCTCGTGTGGGCGTCGGGTGATGGTGAAGCAAATAATCCCAGCAAATCCAATAACCACGTGTGTCGATGCCAAACTCTGATGTTTCCAATCTCTTTACTTCTCAGTCCCCGTATTAAAAACGTCTCTGATAATACCTAACGTGGTGTAGTCGACGAGCAAAAGAAGCGAAAATAAAAGACTCCAGCCAAGCGAAGTTGGAAAGTTTAAAAAGAATGATCTGAGCCAGCAGCGAAGGAAAGGAAGGAATCTCGTTGGTCGCAAGGGCTCGGGGATTGACTCTTGACTCTTCGACCTAGGCGAGAAACAACGAAGAAGAAGAAGAGAGAAATGAGGGTGAAGGAAAAGAGGTGGAGGAAGACGAGACGAAGCTTTCGGCGGGTGGGGGGAAAGTCATAAAGAGATGAGGCGAGTCGGGACGGCAGTCGAAGTTCGAGGAATGGCGTCTGTGGACTTGGCACGCGTGAGGTTCGAATGACCAGGGTTGCACAGGGCGAAATCGGTTCTTTGGCAAAAAAATGCCCGGGATGAACGGGGGAGCCTGGTGCTGTCGGATGGATAGACTTGGATCCGGCAACGAAAAGTGGTGGAGGGGGCTTGACGATGGTGCGGTTTGGCGCAGGATTGGATGGAGGGGTGGGTGATGATGTCGGGACTAATCTTTCGGATGTCAGGTGTCCATGAAACCTCGTCAATAGCCGTTGAACAGGGTGCCAGTGGTAGTGTTCGTCCGCGCAGGATGTGAATTGTGAACAAAAGGGCGATTTGGTGGCGGGGGGGGGGGGGCGAACTGTCGACTGTCGAGGACGGGACAAGGGGTTTGACGATGGTGGACTGGACGATTCGGTAGATCAGACGTTGGAGGGGTTTCGCAGTTGGAGGGAGCTGTATCAGTCCGATCCGAGAGGCGAGACTGATCAGACGGCAGGGCCAGGTGCGACAGGTGGTGGGCGGAGTTGAGACGACTTCTGTTAGAGGCGCTTTGACGAGGGGGCCCCGAGGCTATTCTGACGTTTCGGTTGCAACAGGGGAGGGGCCGTTTTTCCCTTTCTCTCTCGGGATGGACTTGTTTTGTCCCCTTTGACAATGCGGCTCGAATGGAAAGTGTGGATATTGCGCTATTCCACTACGCTACACAGTGAATGCGACGAACAAGGGTCGTTTTTCTGGTATTGGCGCCTGTTAAAGAGTTTTGGTATGGCGGTTGCGCTTAGCTTTGTCTTGTTGGAAAGTTTGTTGGAACCAACGACATTGAGACCGAAAATGGCAATAGGTTACCAGACTGTTGGGAGGATGGAATGTGGATGGATCAATCATGGAGGGAATGGGAAAACAAAGGGAAGAAAGGAAAAACGGCCAAACGAGGACGACGAGTCGAGGTCCTCATATCCGCATTCATCCCCATCCCGCATGGCCTGTCTGGTTCTCCGCCCATGGGCCATTCGGATAGCATGGCATGGCAAGGTAGCTGTACGACTGCGGAGTAGCATGCACGAATGATGATTGCGGTCGGCAGGTCGTTGTCCAATTCCTCTCTCAGCGACGTTGTGTCGGCACGTCGGGCACCACAGAAAGTCAGTTTGACGGTGCAAATTGGCCACCACCTGCCTCCTTCTTGCCGCCCGCCTCGAGGGACGGATCTGAAAGTGGACAGATGGGAAGGTGACGGGAGACGCAACGGCGGCCGGTGGTTGGCTGAATTTAATTTTGGAACACGGACGCCAGACCCGTTTCGGCGGGGCCCATGCTGCTGGGCGCTTAACGGTGGTGAGGCCGTGAGGGAAGTCGCCGACAACCAGGTGAGGCGAGCCACCACACCTCACACCTCACGGGTAAGATGCGGTGGCTGGATTTTGGTGACACAGGATTCGCTGGGTTGCACAACGATGGGGAGGGGCATTGAGGACCATTCTTGAACACCGTCACAAGGGCAATCCGCAAAAAAAAACAAAAAGACACTATTAAAAACTCCAATGTGATGGCATCGTGCTACCGAGATGCGCTACAGCTGCATGCTGCTGCACTACCGAGTCAATTATAGAGCAATCCGGCCACTGACGGTGCGCTCTTTTCTATATTGGGGTGTCTGCCCAGCTGCCCAGCATGTGGCTAACAGGGAATGGTAAATCTTACTTCCCCATCTCGCAAGGAAGATGATAGGGAATGATGCTTTAAAAAAGGGTTCGACCATGATGTGAGGCCAAGCCAAATCATCCTCATTTATCCTTTTGCTGCGAATTGCAGCACTGCAATACAACAACGGGAAGCCATTGGCCACGCAGATAATTAGAGCTCCCCTCACGAGAAAGCATCGCCCCCAAGGCTCCCCTGGAGTCAGGGACCTCAGCTTCACCGTCTCTCGCCAGATTAAAGGTTCCTTCAGTACGGTATCAACTGACTCTCCCTCGCCTAACTCTGGTTTTTTCCCTTCAAAGATGATCCGGGGAACCCTTTCCGTTTGCCAACCTAAAATGTATACTTTGGTCCTTCCCCCGGTTAAGGTAGCCTCTTGCTTACCTTACCTAGGGATACCTACGAGGTAGGAGCGGTCACCGTACCGGAAAAGAAGGCACAGAAAATGAAGAACGGAAGGACAGGTGGGAGGGTGTCAGGGCCCAGGGGTCACCCCCACATTCCCACTAGTCTCTTTCGGGCTTGGCGGCAGGGGACATCAGTTACACATGCGTTGAGGGTGCGGCAGGTCCCCACTTATCCAGCAAGCCCACCTTCAACATCGCTCCTGCGTTTTCGTGCGCCTGTCGACCGAAGCAGCAGGGACAGGCCCCCCTTCTCTTTCCTCCTTTGGTCGTCTTGGCCCGTGCATCACCCGCAAATCTCCAAACTTGTCATCCCAGCACATCGGCCCTTCATCCACACTTTATCCCCGTCATGAAACCTTCAGCATGCTCGCTCTCTGCCAGCCCGCACTCCCAACCTAGGTACGCAGTAAGGTAACCCTCACAACACTTGCACCAAAGGACGCCATGCTGCTAGCTTGATACGCAAGCCCGCCCAAACTCAACACCTGTCACCCTATCTTGATTACATCCATGATTCAACCCACCTGTCGCCCGTGCAAGGTTCGCACCCAGGCAGGGTCACAGTTCACTATCCCGCCAGTCTGCCATCCTCCCCCGTCTCACCCTTCCCCTTGTCCATCCCTGAATCCTTCAGATGGATCATGGCTGCTTGATGGCTGTCGATTGCTCCCGCGGGAGGTCTAAGCCATGTGCAGTGCTCTACTGCGTAGTCCAATGACACCCCATTCTTGGCCCAGCGTCTCTCTGCTTGCCTGTCCTCCCTCCCCTCTACGCAGCGTGTCAGACGCTCACACCTCCCAGCAAAGAAGCATTCCATGAGCCCATCCATGCGGTCTTCCACGTCAAAATCGTACGATTATGTTTACAGATCACCTGTCTTTGATTCATCCTACTCAAAATCCCTATTCAACCATATTTCGCTCCCCAGTTCAAGCTTAAAGAGTTCAAGCATCTCGCATTTATCTTCCCGCCATCAGCCCATCTAAATCTTGGCTCAACGTCCTCCTTCCAGCGAGGCTGAGCGCTCTGGTTCTGCCTCGTTCTCGTTCTCTGGGCCACCCATACATTTCGACCCCCCCCCCCCCGACCCCCTGGCCCGACATTTGCCTTCCGGCACTCTCGGGACTCGGCACAAACTCCAATTTACCTCCTTTTCTCACTCAATGCTGACAGACTCGGCATCTACTTTTCACACTGGGATTGACTCGCCCCCAGTTCGACTCGTTCCGCCTCGAGTATCATCGGCGGTCTGAACCTTCCAAGCCCGTCAGCGCTGTCTGGTATCGACGGGGCTTTTTGCGAGACGGGAATGACGTGGACTATCAGCCAGCCTCGCCCGAACACTCCTCGCTTGACCTGGATCCCGCGGTAGCGTCGCCAAGGATATTCGAATTGTTTTGCTCCTCCTCTTTGCTGCAGTGGCTGTCGCTCGGAGTTTGACACTACAAGGCCAGGTCCTGGTGAAACGAGCAAAGCTGGACATTGGCACGGGTCTCCGCTCTCAAAACGGCTTTCATGCCCGCATGAAGCACCAACCCTACCCACCTGCATGATCGTCGCTGACGCAGACATTTCAATAACGCCCAAGTCAGCCTCCTCAAGGATCTCGAGTCAATCTCCACATTGAACGCCAAGCTTTACGCCAAGTGGCTTGTTTAAGCTTCCTTCACTGAGCAGGGGTCAACAGAAATCAATAGTGGTCGAGCGTCTCTGCGTGATGCTCGCAACAGTCGGTAACGGGTATCGCACCTAGCAAATACTGCTTCAACCTGAGTTTACGATCTAAACTTCCAGCCTTGAGCAGTTTGAGATCGACAAGAAGGGGGCTTGCGAGGGGCTTCCAGGAGACTTGATGGCTCTCGTCGTCGCCGATCCCCTCACTTCATCGTCTTCTTTCTATTATCTGAATCACCAAATCGTGTCGCACTACTGAGCTTGACAGCTGGGCCACCAAGTGGGCCGTGTCAGAACGAACTATCCCCAGCTAACGAGGCACCAAGCACAGGTTTGGCAGAAAACACAAATGGCTTACCCCGTCACAAGGGGTTCAGATGTATCTGAGAATATTTCAAGCCTAGCTTGAGTTATGGGATCGAAGCAGGATATCTCTCATCCATCAAATGTGACACTTGCAGCTCGGGTCGCAACGAGGACCCTACGATGCTCCGCTCTGACCCGGAGAGGCTGTCCTGGAACCTAGATTCATCTGTTGCAGGCGATATCTTGGTCTGATCTCAAGTTCTCCGATGCTCCGCGTCTGTCTGGACTGTATTCGGGCCACGTCCTTCCGCCAGAGCGCTGTTCCTGGATGAGGATGGATGAAACTGGTGGCCACGCAGACCCAGGTTTTCGCTCGCATGCAGATGCGCATGAAGCGGATGAATGTCGCAGGACCCATATCGTGTTACTCGTGATTCCGATGCGTGCTTACGTCCAGATTGCGAGCATGCGAGTGCTAAATTGCGCTACAACTTTGATACCCACAGATGGCCCTCCTCGAAGCTGTGTCAGCGGCTCTGCTCCAAATCCGAATCTTAGTATAATGACATGCGGTATCTCCGCCCCGCCCAAACACCGCGCTGCTGGTTAGACTCTCCTGCGAGATCTGAGGCGTTGGGGAAGGAACATTATGCGAACCAAATTGATATCAACGCACGGGTTTCGCGGAAAGAGCTTAAACAGCAGCATACTCGGCACCGGGTGTCCGATACCTCTTTACAATGCTGTCCGACTCACTCTGGCATAAACCTATCAGTGCCCATGGCATGGAAGAACAGGAGCTCTGTCAGCCGACGTGATGCAGTGACTCGGAAAACAAAAAAGAAGAAGAGGTCGGTTTGATTAGGAAGGACCTTTCTGGGTAGCGTTGTATTAATTGGATGTCCGATGAGCGGATTTTTAAATGCCTCCTAGCTTGCTACAGCCTTTGCGTCACGCAGTTTCCGCAATTTCCATTGTCTTTGTGATTGCTTAACCTGCCTGATTCATGCAGACAGTTAATGACAGCCAGCATACCTACTGCTACTGTTGAATCATCAGCACCTCTTCCTCTTATGCATATTTCCTGCCGACTACCCAGAGTCCAACCGGTATCCGATGAAACAACGGGCTCGTCTACTCAAGGCCCTAACATACACGGCCCATATTGGTTCAAGATCAAGACTGGGCCTGTGGCCTCAATTATTCTTCTATCTACCAGACAGGCCAGTACTGCCACCAATATGCTTAAAGTTGTCACCCTATGGGCAGTTTGTTAACAGATGCGGTATTGGTGGTTGCAAGAATCATCACGAGGAAAAGAGGAATAAGCGACCACCGCAGGCAAAATTAATGCCAACTACAACTTGCGTCTACAGCAGTCGCTTTGCCGAAAATTATCTAAAGTATCAAAGGTGAGACAGTGAAGTAGGCAAACCTCAATCCTCTGTACCCACGTCTACCTAATGTTTAGTACTGTTAGTCTCTAAGTAGTCGGCAGAAAGGGTGGATCTGGAAGGCGATCTAGGCCAAACAAACGGCCTTCCCACTTACATACCACATCTGCGAGGTCGTGAGCTCTGCTCACAACCTCCTCCTTCCACCTTCATACGCAGCAATAGATCACCAGTTTATTGACTTCGTACCAACCGTACGGTTGACCTGCTGACGTGTATACCAACAAGTACAGACGCCAAACGCACACTGCATCTCTAATTAATGAGGTTTTCTGACTGCTTAACTTATTCTGATCTCATGGTGCTTGAAGTTTTGTAGCTTGATCGTGGAGAGAATCTTTTCCACAGACCACGCCATGTGGCCACCAGCATAGCCACTAGTGCTTCCATCACCTTGAGCGGGTGCTATGCTCTCTTGCAAGGCTTGTCGGCTTATCACTGACAAATGCTGCTTTGCCTCGCATCATGTCGCACGCCAGTTCTTGACCATGGCCCATTTCTCGGCGCTGACTTTTTTTAGGACCTATCTAATAAAGAATTATCCCGCTTGACTATTATGGCGAATTTTCCTTATGCGTCTCCCTGCCATTTCACTGTCAATTGAATTGATAAGTCTACACCTACAGGTCAGTTCACCTTCATCACCAGACACACATCCTCATCTTGGTTATCTCCCAATACATCAGTTAACAAAGACCTGGGAAATAATACTGATTGATTAATACAATCAACAGATTGCCATGAAATCAAGAACTACAACCAGAGAGACTTGCATTGCTGGCTGTCACAAAGTCAACACTTCATCCGTAAGACACCATATGGGACATTTGGGCTGGAGTTTGGACACTTGTAAAGTGAAGGGCAAGCCCGCTAACCAATCTACACATATATATAAGATAGCAACACTGACTTCTCGGAATGGGAGAGATGATAAACACAAGGTAGGTCCACCTGTATTTCTTTCTGAGTCTCCGGCAATATCCTTCTTCTTTGGGGATATGACGAATAAGAAGCGAACCGTACTTTTCTCTAGTTTGTCACTAACTTGACTAGCTCATAATTGAACCATCAGAACTATGGCTTTTTTTTTTTTTTTTTTGAGGGCTCCCGAGATAGCTTTCTTGCTTGAAGAAGGAAGACTAAACTAATATACTGAGGTCTTTTCTCACGCTTGGAAGCGAGGATTGTGGACAAAAAGCCCGCCAAAAGCCATTTCGCTAGCTTTGTGGTGTTGAGCACTATAAGCATTTTAATATCACAGGTGGTGTATTTTTTTTTTATTTTTTTTGCAATTCTACACTTCCATAATATGACAATAATCCAGACAGGTCCAAGATATCCATTGTAACTCTGCACGAACGGAGCGTCTAATCAATAATTACTTAATTTCAAGTTCTACGTAACTTCTGTATTTGCAATCTGGGGTGCCTTTATATCTGTCAGTACACAGGATGGAAAACCCTAAGGATCATTATTGGGTATTTGGTTATGTAATCTCTCTTGTTCTTTTATCTGGTCCCTTGACCCAGTTGTTTGAGTTAGCCTATAAGTAACGAGACCGCCCGCCTAGGGGACTTCCGCCAGAGAAGACAAACAAACATCCGCGTATCTCCTTCAGACGCCCTAGGCTTAAGCCCTCATGTATGGAGGAATCCTGAAATTTTTCTTCTCGGAATACTTGAACTAAAGTTAAAGTAGAACTTGTCATTGAGAAGTCACTGTCATCGAGCATATGTCGTTTGAGTGCCTGAATTCCCACTGTTCGTATTTTACACATTCCAGTATTGGATCCACGCCAATGCTGTTCCGTTATTGTAGCTTGAAGCCCCGGAGATTATACCTTTGGGTAGGACATAGTCGCCGCCGTGAACTCTCCACTTTCCAGATTCGATGCGATGTACATGAAAGGTGGGAGAAGATGCACGTTGGGATTTGAAGTCGTAGGCTAATCTTTTGTTAGGTGAGGTTGCCTCACCCAGCAGCTCGCGCGGCTTTAGACTGATCAGAATACGTCACGCTTTATAGAGACCATGGCTCATGTTGATGACATCTCGAGCCCACCCATCAGGGAGCTTCACAATAGGGGAAACTGCAGTCAAAACTCCTCGGTCAGTTCTCGGTTCAGTGGCCTCGCAGTGTACTCATGTAAGGTACCAAGGGTCCAGAAAGACTATCCGCGCCATGCCCGACCGTAGCCGCTGATTATACTACTGCGACTCTCAGCCTCATTTAATGTATTTGATATGTTGGTATACATGACAGTAGGGTAGTCGTACGGTTGGTACGAATGTCATTGCTACCTTACGTATGGAGGTGGAGTGAGGAGGAAGTGGATGTAATAAGTGGAAGAGGTCATTTGTACGGCCCAGACCATCCTCTCGATCTATTCTATTTGCCGACTGTTCGAAATTCCACACGATGGCCTCGCTACCTGTGAGGCTGATGGCCTCTCCGCCTATAAAGATGGCTCCAAGAGGTTTCCCGTCTCGTGAAAGACTTTCTTGATCACGCATTTGTGACTATCATTCGGACCGTCGGCAAGTCACTCGAAGCCGAAAGTTTGGTCGGCAGTCCAAGCAATCCTCAAAAACTCAGATTTACGGTCTGGAGTCGAATGCAACCCCTCGAGGGGCACCGCTCTCAAAACTCATTCTTCATCACCGTTTTTGGAAGGACTGGCTGGGAGCTCAGAAGATTCGATGGTACCTTAATGGAAGTACCTACTTCGTGTATCTTAGCCAAGAGGGGGTACCAACCTCGGTCCTGCTGTGTTGGTTCTGAGGAGTGGAACCACCCACGATCCCTCAGAACATCGCGACAGAAGGAGCCACATAACCCGGAACCTCTTCCTCTCCTCTCAAGTGACATTGGAATCCTTCTTTACTTTACTTGACGACTGAACTCTCTTCATAAGGGACAATGTCGCGCGAAACCCTCAACACAGTCCGCTTTCCGATGAAGAGAATCGTTATCAGGGCTGCTGGCATGCTGATCCTTGTGAAAATCGAGCGTCTGAGGGGTGATATTTGTTGTGATTTTCAGAGGAAGAAACTAGACTGTTCATGCCTTTTGTACTTTTTTTGAGATTCCCACAGACTCCACTCAATGTGGTCGATGTTAGTACCAAAAGGTGTGGCTGACTTTTCACTTTGTCCAAGGTTTGGGTCACCCATACACACCGGTGACCCATACATAGCAAAACTGGATCGAATGGTTCGCATCATGGATGCTTCAGAAGAATTGGCAATATCTACACACTCTAACCAGCTCGACGAACAGCTCCCGCACGGTGGCAGACACAGTAATGGCTTTGCTCCTGCTTTCATGTGGCAGAAGTGTCAGTCAGCGCTGCTTCTCGAGAGGGGTCTGCATTAGGTGGATTGGGCCACTTGTCACAACACACCTTCCGACGGTGATGGTTCAAGCACATGTCTGGGAGGAACGCTAATGATTCCCGTGCAGGTGGGTCTTCGAGTTCCTGGTAAGTTCAGTGTTCCACTGAGTCTCACGCACCTTCTGTGGGAACGTTCTGTCTCGCTTGCTACCATCGCTACGGGTTCCTTCAGGAAAGACATGAACACCCACCCCTATGGCCACCTGCTCATGTGTCTTTGGCCACATAGTTCGTTTCCTCCTGTCGTACACACGTAAGAATCAGATGAATGCTTTTTTACGGGCCGAGACCGTCTGCAAACAGCTGACTTTGAATGTTGAGCAAACCTCTCGTGATGCCTCCCTCATGGCTTCGCCACCATCGGCCGATAAGCAATAAGAAGATAGCTAAGAACTTCATAAGCGTGATGGAGACGACCTGGCTGTGCATTTCTTGACTACTTGGCAAACTCCGAAT